CAAACAAAGCAACACAAGCAGGTAACTTCTCAGCTGGTCAACCTCGGGCAAAAGGAAGTCTTTGCTTGGCCTGAGAGAAACAAAGCAACCTAATCCTGGTCCTTCAAGCGCTGGTTAGAGCTGAGGGGGAGAAAGCAGGAGCTGACATCGCCGGAGACAAATGGAAATGCAAACTAATCTTGGGCATCCTCACTGATGTGGCTACTGCTATGAGCGGTCTACGAAGATGCTCAGGAACCTTCCAGGTTACACAGGCAGTTTCTATTTACATGACAAAATCAGCTGATGCCTGTCAGTCACTTCACAAAAAGGGAGTTGTTGCAGGGTGCTGAGCAGAGAACTGGGACCTGGGTCAGTGGAGGGATAAGATCCTGGGCGGGCCGAAACCAGTTTGGCTCAGTGGATAGAGCGTTGGCCTGAGGACTGAAGGGTCCCGGGTTCGATTCCGGTCAAGGGCATGTATCTTGGTTGCGGGCACATCCCCAGTGGGAGGTGTGCAGGAGGCAGCTAATCGATGATTCTTCTCCCATCGATGTTTCTAACTCTCTGAGAAGATGATTCTTCTCTCGTCAATGTTTCTAACTCTCTGTCCCTCTCTCTTCCTCTCTGTGGGAAATTAATAAAATATATTAAAAAAAGATCCTGGGCAGTTGGCTCTCATTGTGGCGTACTTGACCTCAGATGACTGAAGGCCAAATACATGGAAAGAAGTGGGTCATTGGAGCCTTGAGGTTCTGGGTTCTGAATTTTTACTTGGAAAACCTCTTTTCAAGGCAAGAACAAACCAAAGAGGCTTCAGGCCTTTGAAGACAGTTGAACAGGCTAACTCTAAGGAAGGGACTGTACATCCTGATCAGAGCAGGGACCAGTTCTTCAAAACTACCTAGTAGCCAAAAACCACAAACACAAAACACCCGCACACAAACCTTAAGATTCTTTATTTATTAAAGGAAATGTGTCTGAGCCAGGCTACTGTGAAACCAAACAGGAAAATACTACTGAAACTTGACCGTTTTTTCTGATGGCCTTCAGTCTTGGATGCTAACAAAAATGTTGGTTATTTGGTGTTGTTTTTTAACCAAGCAATCTGTACCTCCAGCTTTATGTTTAATTCGGGAAATTCCATTTTATGAAACTTCAGGCTCTAAAGCAAGCAAGCATAGCTCTCCTTGGATTCGTGTTGCCCAGGCAAGGTAAATGGAGCTTCCCGGGTAACACAGTCAGGTGTGCCAAAGGAGGATACCACACAAGGAACCTGGTTTGTTGAGAATCCGGTGGATCATTTGTCCTATCACTTTTTTAAAAAAAATCCTCACCTGAGGATACGTTTTTATTAATTTTAGAGAGAGAGGAAGGGGGAGAGAGAAAAAAACATCAACTGGTTGACTCCTATCACGTGCTCTGACCAGGAATCGAACCCGCAGCCTCTTGGTATACGGAACGAGCTCCAATCAACTGAGCCACCTGGCCAGGTCTGTCCTATCATTATCTTAGAAGAACTGTGCAATCACTTTCCAAGCAGTTGAATATTTCAAACATCTTGGGTTGCTCAAGCTGACAGAAGAAATATCTAGATTTAAGAAAATCTGGCAAAGTTATCTGAAGGAACACTAATTTTCATCTATTATTTTTGAATGTTCATTAAAAGATATCTGTATATTAGGGGGGAAAAGTGGTGAGCAGACTGAGTTGCCCAAGGGAAAAGAGGTCAGCTGAGAGGCAGGTTGTGACTATTCCGTGTATAACCTTAAGAAAGCAGCTTACGCCCTCCACTGTGGACAGACTGGGGAAGATGTATTGTCAAGTTATTGCAAGAACATTCCAAACTCCCCAAGTCACATTGTCTCAGGGTAACTGGAGATAAAGTCCCTGTCTAGTTCTCCCTGTTTTATCCATCTTTAAACCAATTAAGGGCATTGTGAAGCATTCATTTGTTTCCCAAGACAGTGCAATGGAACAGCCATATCCCTGGGTCAGCAATAGTTCTGAAGAAAGCATCATTTATTACAGCACAGGCTGGACTAAGGAATGAAGAACTTTGGGCTATATTTAACTCTTTCTCTGGCCTTCTGAGTACTGTTTCTGCCTTTGCCCCCTTATTTTTTCATTCAAAAAAAAAATGTTTACTCAATATCATCTATGTGCCAGGCTTAATTCTACATGCTGTGTCTACATGACTGAACAAGAGAGGTTAAGTTCCTCTCACAATTTTATGAACCTTAAGGCTCTAAAACAAGCAAGCAGGGAAAACAAATAGTTTCAGAGAGGAGTGCTAGAAAGATAGTAATAAGCAGGATAATAGGATTCTGTGCAGGTAGGACAGAGAAGAGGGATGGAAAAGTGCTAGTCAGTCAGGGAAGAGTTCTGGGAGGCAGTAGAGATTTGAGCCATAAGCAAAAGATCTGAGTGAATATTTCTTCAGGCCAAGAAAACAAATACAAAGGCTCTGAGGTGGCAAAAGTCACATGAACTGAAGGAAGGCCTGTGTGGCCAAAAATGAATATAAATAAGGTCAAGAGTGGATGAAAATGAGGTAGGGAATGTGACAGAGGCTGGAAAACCTAGGGCATTGCATACTTTGGGGGGAAATTGAAATTTCAATCACAGTGAGATAAGAATAAATGTATGGATAAAGAAAATGTGAACTGTATCTACAATAATAAAAGCATAACATGCTAATTAGACCAGATGTCCTTCTGGATGAAGTGGGGGCTGCAAGGGAAGCCCAGGTCCCGGGTACGAGGGAAGCCGGTGCCAGCAGCCAAAGGAAAGAAGGACTACTCTTGCATCAGACCTCTAGTATATGATATTCATTCATGAAAAAGAATGAAATGTTGCTATTTGTGACAACATGGATGAACCCTACTAAGTCAAATAAGTCAGAGAAAGACAAATTCAGCATGTTCTCACTTATATGTAGAACCTTAAAGAAACAAACAAGAAAACCCAAGTTCATAGGTAGAGAGGACAAATTAGTAGTTGTAGGGGGAGGGTGGTGAGTGAAATGTGTGAAGTAAAAAAATACACACTTCCTGTTATAAAAGAAGTAAATAGTGGGGTGTAATAATGTCAATTACACCTCAATTTTTTTTTAAATGAGATGAAAACCATCTAAACCATGGCCCAGACTTAATGAGGACCAAGTATATAAAAGATACTATATAGAGCAGCGGTCGCCAACAGGTGGTCCGGAAATCAGAAACGTGACCTAGAGAATGATCAGGTTTTCTCTTGAAAGGGGCCTCAAGGCTGGGATGAGACTTAATTTTGGATTACCATGGGGCCAAATAATAATGAGCTGACTGATACCACCTCCTTTAGCCTAGTCACCTGGTATTGGAATCTGCTGGACAACATCATAGATTACTACGCCCATACTTAGCTGTTCCAGAGGTGGGACTCATGACCCATTGCAGGCCCTGCCTGCATTACAGTTCTTCCTAATACTGTGTCCAAACCTGATTCCTTGTGATTTTTACTCATCTGCTCCTTATACCCTTCCAGGCTCTACCAACAGCTAATCCACTGCAAGAATTCTCAAGCAGGTCAGTACCAGTTACTCATCTGACTTTTAACTTTTTATTATGGAAAACTTCAAATGTTCACAAAAGCAGAGATAATAGTATAACAAATCTTTTATTTACCCATGACCAACTTCAACAACAATCAACTCATGATCAATTTAGTTTCCATCTGACATTTTTATTTCCTTGGCTAATTTCATCATTATATGCCTTACAGGTGTGGTCTGGTCGCTCAGAGAACTAGCAACTCACCGGAGACATCCCATTTCCACTAACGCAGCCTAATGGTCCTATTGCATCGTGGTAGCCATGTTGTTTCTCCAGCGCAAAATCGCCTGCCTCAGATTCTCCCACCAGATCTTGTGCAATAAGGTTTTTGAACCCAAGGAGGGAACTTATGATGCTCGCTGTGATTTTCATCCTATCAGATTCAGTTCATCCCTTCAGGTTATTATGATCCTTTTGAACCTCAACTCTCTAATATTCACTATCCCTTTCAGCTTTTGTGACACCATAAATTCTGAAAAGTAATGGAAGTCATCTCTATCTTCACTGAAGTAAAAATGAGGAAGAATATGAACACGCATAAGAATGAATTAGAAAAAGAGTGTAGAGCTGGAAAGAATCACACAAAACCTTTAGTTGAACTCCTCATCCCACAGATGAAGAAACTAAGACTCGCCGAGTCTGTCTGGTTCAAGACCATCCATTAAGTAAAGGAAGGCCAGACTAGAGGCTAGGCCTTGAGCTCGCTGCCCCTTTCCTCTCTGTCCTCAGGGGGAGGCGTTTGATGACAGAAAATGCATCACCAGCCAGGCTAGTGTCTGTGGACAACTGCAAACTGATTTTTTGTCGACTACCAGCAACAACCCACTCATCTAGCAAATAATCATCACATATTGCTCTCTGCCAGACCCATTGCCCTCAATTACTTTCCAAGTTTCTCCCATCCTCAGAGATTAGGCTGGAAATCATTTTTCTCTGCTCTTTTTTAATCAATTCCTACAGTATATAGGACTGTAAGTGCATCAGAGTTAGGGATATAAAAAATGTTCATAAATAATTAGGATATAGGATTCACCTATATCAGAAATAAGAGTCTGTTATTCAAATAGTCACAAAATATCTTATCTACAGAAGACACTTAAAATATACATCTTAAAAATTCAGCACTCAAGAATGCATTTTATAATTGTTTCCATTTGAGAAACAGAGTCAAAATGGATACCAATTATAAACACAATTTCACATGATAATCTGGATAATGAGCAAGCATCACGATGTTGTTCTGATATTCCTCTTTGTGGTTAACGAAGAGATGAGCACAGAGTCCAGAGGAGCACAGCCCAGGAAGCCTCGCCACAAAGCGGCAGTGCTTTGGGGGTTCCTTCCCTCAGTAAACGGCACTGGGGTGGGAAGGAGCCTGGGAGCTTCACCAAGAAACGCACAGTCCAGCTCCTATCCAGCCCGCTGGCATCAACTGTCAAACCACTTGCTTCTCTTTGCGAGAGGCACTCCTTTAGAAGATCCCAATAATTTCTGCTTATATTGTTCGACCAGCTGGTTGAAGCGAATTTCTGTCTTATTTCCCTTAGCTTTTTTCTTAGGCACCTACAAATGAAAGGTAAGAAAACAAAAGATGGTCAATTTCAAGCAGTAAATAATCAGCTTATCCGAAGGCCACCCAGGAGAAAAATAAGGAAGTATAGCCATCTTGTCCACCCAAAGAAGGGGACTTCCAGAGAGTGACCCTTGCAGAGAAAAACCCTCAAAGAATCACCCACTGGTACGAAATCAGACCAGGAATGCATAAAAGCACACACTGCTCAGGTGTTCCCAAGGCCACTCCAAATGCTCACGTGAATCTCCTCACAGCTGAGTCAGCCCCGGTGTGGATGCTTTCCCTGCCCTTTCCCTCCCCAAAACAATGCACATTGGAGTTCAGAGACAGAGCTTTATAAGACAGTATGAATAGGTCTGAAACTTCCCATACACAAGAGATTTTTTGAGGATGACGGGAAACTAATGCTTCGTATATCCTTAAAAGAAAGAGAGTAGGGAAGGAGACACAATGCTTGACCTCAATGTTCAGAAACTTAGGACTACTATTCTCTCCTAAATGGAAGTAGGGTTCTTTGAAAAAATGGCTAATGCCAAGACCAGGGAAGAAATATGTAAGATGAGCTGGGACATCTGATTGTCCTACAAAGCAAGGACAATAACAAAGACAGGGCTATCTCACAAGGACTCAGGGGTCAACCTGGCAAAGTTTTTGCTGGCCTAACAGGTATGGCTGCATTCGATGAAAACACATCAAGTATTAAAAAAACTCAGGAATTCATAATACTATAAAATCTTACTAGTCTCCATAGGAGGTTGTAGGACACAAACTCATTATTCTGAAAACTGATAAAGAGAAAAAAAATATCTAAGATTTATCCTGTCTTTCCTATAGTATATCATAGTAACCAAAAAGTTGAAGTTTCTTTTTTCTAGAATTCTACTAAAAAAAAAGAAAAAAAAAAAAAAAAAGGCAAAGGATTGATAAAATTAGAAAATCACCATTCTGCAACCCAAATTCAAATAATGGATCTAGACAGCAATCCTTAATGGTGCTAAAACCATCAGGTGAGCCGGGACCGCTTTGGCTCAGTGGATAGAGCGTCGGCCTTGGACTGAAAGGTCCCAGGTTCGATTCCAGGCAAGGGTATGTACCTTGGTTGCGGGCACATCCCCAGTGGAGGGTGTGCAAGAGGCAGCTGATCGATGATTCTCTCTCATCGATGTTTCTAACTCTCTCTCTTCCTCTCTGTGAAAAATCAATAAAATATATTAAAAAAAAAAAAAACAAAAAAACCATCAGGTGAGAGATTGGTAGGGGACTTTACAAATAGAGAGATAAGGTAGACAATCCCTAAACCTACTGATGAGTTTGAGCATTACCAAAAATGAGGCAACCAGACATTAGGTGCCTTATGATATGACACAATAGAAACACACAGCATTACCTATGACATACTCTTGCCAAGAAAACTGAACTTTAATCTAATCAAGCCTCTAGATATGGCTACCAGTGTATAGGCAGTATGGGGTGTTATACAAACAATTTAAATGATATCATAAGAAAGCAAAGCAGCTAAACTTAAAGTGTAATACATTCTAAAGGGCAAATGACCTTGTTTCTCCAACAAACTGAGAGCATGGGGGAAAAGGGGGGCTGACAAGGAGGACTGGATATTATGGGGGGGGGGGGGTACGGAACTTAAGAGTTATAAAACCAAATGTAATATGTAGGCTTGAATGCTGCTTCATACCAACCAACCATAAAAAAATATTTTTGAGGCCATTGGGGACATTTTAATATGGGCTGTATATTAGATGACATTGAGGGCTTCTAGTTAATCTCATTAGATGTGATCACAGCTCCATGTGATCATATGTGTGTATGTGTGTGTGTGTGTCCCATCAGTTGGGAGATGCATTCTGAAGTATTTTTTGAGCAATATACATTTCCCCAGGAGGCACATTTACAAGTGAAGCAGAGTTTGCTTTAATGCCCTGGGGGCAGGGAGCATGTACAGGGAGGGGACGGGTAAAACAGGATAACTGCTGAAGCTCAGTAACTGATATGTGGGGGTTTATTTTCCTAGTCTCACTTTTAGGACTGTGCACCTCAATATCCACTAAAAAGCTGCAGTCCTGCATGTAGTTGCAATTTAGAAGCCCCCCCCAACCCTTTTTTTCTCTCAACTAATCAAGGAACAAAAGCAGCTGCCAGCCCCAGCCGAGCATGTCATGCCAAGCCTCGTGCCCCACTCACCTGCTTGGGAGGCAATTTCTGCTTCTCTTGCTTCCACTGGTTTATCTGGGGCTTTGGCTTTTTGGGAGGGAGAGACTTCACTTTGCCTTTGTCCCGCAACCTGAAAGAATACAGTCACGGGTCACCCCGAGTTCTTCCTCTAATTGGCACTCCTGAGGTTCTCTCAGCCAGGAAGATAAAATGCCTTTTCTTATATTGGCTTTTTCTAACCCATGACAAGTCATTCTAAAAAGGGATATTGCAACAGAATGTCCTAAGGCTCAACATTTGTACATTTGGTTTTTGTTTTGGTTTAAAACCTCAAGAGAATCTCAAAAAAACTTCATTTATTTAACAAATATTTTTTGAAGATTAACTTTTGTTCATAGCACTAATCTGAGGCCCCAAACGGAAACTGCAGGGGAACATCAAGTAAGTGGGCCTCAGCTGACTGATGCCCATCTGGACCGGAGGAAGCTCTTCAGAAAAGGAGGGAAATGGCGTGAAAGCCCGTCCTGCAAGGCTCCTCTGAGCCCCCCTCTGCCAGCCCTGTTCTGGCTGCCATGTGGTCCAGGACTGACACCGCTGCTTGTGCTTTGGGACGGGCACAGCACTAAACATCCCTGACATCCAAACAAAAGCCACGAGAGGAAAAGAGCTAAGCAACCACAAACCCTCTCAGAAGCCCTCCACGGTTCTGCCTCTCACCTGATTTTGGGTCCTCGGTGTGAGGGTAACGCCAGGACCTTTCTTCGCTTCTTCCCATCAGGTAACTCCACCTGCTCCACTTCAGCCTTGGTCTGGAATCCTGCCCAGGAGCTAGAGCCCGCCTTCCCCTTCTGCTCTGGAGGGGCCTTGTTTTGCTCCTGGGAGTGGTTTTGAGCTGCTTTCTGTTGCAGGTCTTCTCTCGGCTCCGGGTGCTTCTGTTGAGGCTCACCAGTTGTGGACTTGGATTTCATTTTTTGCTGCATAAAACAAGAGACCACCATCTGGTTTCTGGATGAGGCTTATGTGTGCTAGAAACATGCAGCTCAAGAAGAGTTTTAGTTGAGTTTGGAGAAGAGAGGAATTCTTCCAACCAAAAGGTAGAGACTACAGGAGAGTGAATACAAGTGGTTCACAGGCCCTAATATATTATAGTAACAAATGGTTACTGTGTGGAGTCACAAATAAATATTTTCCTTTCCATATGCAGAAACAGAGGGAAAGTACACACACAAGTCTTCAAAGTCAGTGGGGTGGGTTGCGGGAGGGGAAGGGCATGAAGGCTAGTAACATGGGATAATTACTAAAGGTAAAATAATGGGAATACCAGAAGAAAAAAAAGAACAGAAGAAATATTTGAAGTAATAAGGACCGAGAATTTTCTGAAATAAATAACAGACACCAAACAGATCCAGGGAACTCAACAATATAAATACCAAAAAATTTACACCTAGGTATATTATATCAAACTGCATAAAAATAAAGAAAACTGTTGAAAGAAGCCAAGGAGGGGGGATCTCTTACCTAAAGAGAAACAAAGATAGTATTACATTGATTTCTCTTCAGAAACCATGTAAATAAGAAGAGAATAGCAGAAAATATTTAAAGGCCTTTTTGGGGGGTAGGTGGGGGTTAAAGATGTCACCAACCTTTTGTATCCAGTATAATTATCCCCCAAAAGCAAAAGAGAAATAAAGATTTTCTTAGACAGCCCTGACTGGATGGCTCGGTTGGTTGGAGCATATTCCCATACACCTAAAAGGTTGTGGGGATCGATTGCCAGTCAGGGCACATACTTAGGTTATGAGTTCAATCCCTGGTTAGGGCGTATATGGTAGGCAACTAATGGATGTTTCTCTCTCTAAAAAATCAATAAAGCCCAGCCGGTGTGGCTCAGTGGTTGAGCATCAACCTATGAACCAAGAGGTCACAGTTCGATTCCCAATCAAGGCACATTCCCTTGGTGTGGACTTGATCCCCTATGTGGGGCATGCAGGAGGCAGCCGATCAATGATTCTTCTCACCATTGATGGTTCTATCTTTCTCTCCCTCTCCCTTCTTCTACGAAATCAATAAAAATAATTTTTTTAAAGGAAAGGCATTAGAGAAGGCATAAATGAAGATTAAAAAAAGATATTAAAAAAAGATGCTATGAGGACTATGGCATCAAGGCTGGTACATATTTATGTTGCACTAAAGTGGAAAAGAAAATAAAGTTTCACATGAAATCAATGTTGTATTGTTTTGTCCTTTCACCTTAAAAGTTGAGGTAGGCACATTGATACACAAAGATTTATTATATGCTGTTATATGCCATCTCTGCTTCTAAGTGCTAAGGGCACATGCAGATGGGGAGAATACTGTCTACCTTTCAGGACTCACAGCCTAATGGAGATAAAAGACACAAAGTAACTTTAGAATCACCTCCTGAAATAATGGCTTAAGGCAGGAAATAAACCCAGAATAAAAAAGTTGCCTTGAACAAGAACCAGATCACAGGTTTTCAACCCAGGGCATGTGTTAAGCACTGAACCTACTCCTCTACTGGTCATGCTCACACTATCCACCACAAAGACTACAAATGTCTGATATATATGTGCAAGCTAGAGTATAACAGCGAGGTCAGCTGAAGAGCTTTGGCATCAAGAACAGTCCGGTCCTATGTGCCTGGGGGAGGGGGTGGGCGGGAGGGGAGGATGGGTATGAGAGTATTGACTGTGTGCTGACCATGCACATCCAAGACAATTTACATGGATTACTCATTTAATCCTCATCAACCATGTGTGGTGGACATTATTAACCCCATTTCACAAACTAGAAAATGAAGCTGACAGGTAATAATGTGCCAAGGAACTCAGCAAGCAGCAGAGGCTGAGTATGAACATAAATGTTCCCATTCCCAAAATCCCTGTTCTTTCCTCTATGCCACACTAGATTAAAAACAGCACTAAAACTATCAGGCATCCCATTTCTGGAGCCATCTGAGAAGAATTATGAAAGAGACAGCTGAAATCTACAGGTGATGCACAATTTTAATTGTGGCCATTAATTGACATAGGGACCATCACCACGCACTGTAGAGCTGCTGACTGGGAGTATATCAGGCTGTTTCTCTTCTCTCCTTCCTTTCCCTTCCGTGAAGCTCTCACAAGACAGGCCAGCAGAGGAGGTGGCCTGGAGAGCTCTCGGGAACTACGAGTAAAGAGTAACAAAGGCCCTACTGAGGTAGAGTCCTATTTCAAGGGAGGCAGATCACAAACTGAACAAAACAGCAATTTAAATATAGCCTTTAAAAATTGTTTTAACTGAAGTGTACATTTAAAAACAGTAAGCTGTACATAATGTATTATGAACAACAATTTAAAAGTAACGAAAACAGAAAGAACATTTTAGTTCTGTACCTGGCTGCGCTGCATCCTCTGTTCCTTTATTTTAAGCTTCCTCCGATCTTCCAAAGAGAACTCCACTATTGGTCTCTGTGTCAGAAGGAGACAGAATGTCATTCATTCGATTTCTTAACCTCTGAGTGCAATGAGCTGAGTTGTCTCCCACCATTGCCCTCTTTTCTGCAAGTCAGAGGTGGCTGCTCACTTACTATACTTAAAGGTAAGGGGTGCGTGGTGTAGGTAGTCTACACAATTTAGAGTTCCTGCCAATCACCTTATTACCTGAATCACTGCTCATTGCCTCCATCGACTTGCTACTCTTTCCCATCACTCAAATGCCTGAGAGCACTGGACACAAAGGAGAGGATGGTTTTCTGCAAAAGGGGGAACAGCTCTCCCCCCAGGATGAGGCTCACCTTCTGAGGCCCATAGATTTCTGGGTTGTTGTTGATGTGGCGTAGGGCGGTCAGAGCATGCTCGTGCTCCTGGAACTCTGCAAAGGCGTAGCCCAGGGACTGACCTTTAATTTTCCCATAAACTCCTTTAAGGTCTCGCATCACCTTGCACTATGAGTAGAATAAGAAAAAGAATCAATAATTACAAAATGAGGACCTTAACAGATTCAATTATTAGGACAGATTCTTCAGCTACATCACCACCACAAGAGTTGTAATGAAATAAGTCTGTGAAAGTCTGTTTTATTAGACTACAGCTACTGAGAGCACAAAGCAAATTAAATAGATATTTTCATGCTTTCTAAGAGTTTACAGACATCAACACTAACCTACAACTAAGCATGCATATAAAATCAACTCTCGAAGAAAAAATTATAATAACTACTAACAATACTAGCTGATAGATCTATGGTACCTGAAGTTGTATATTAAGTTACCACAAGATAAAATGTAGTGCTAGAGCTCATCATTGTAGAAACCACTCAGAAAAGAAAGTACTGCCTTGGCCAGATCGGCTCAGTGGATAGAGTGTGGACCGAAGGGTTCGATTCCAGTCAAGGGTATATGCCAGGGTTGTGGACTCAGTCCCCAGTGGGGGGGCGTGCAGGAGGCAGCCGATCAATGGTTCTTATCATTGATGTTTCTGTATCTCTCTCTCCCTCCCTTCCTCTCTGAAATCAATAAAAATATATTTAAAAAAAAGAAAAGAAATTACTAAAGAAGGGAAGGAAGAAGACCTGATGGCTTTAGATTAGAAAGGCATTTCAGGTATGGGGAGAAGCCTGCCCAACAGGCAGTCTCAGAAATACAAAAAGAAGCTTCAGCAGTCTTTGCTTGGCACTCAGATCCTCCCTGATTTGGCCTTTCCCTAAATCCTTAAGCTGAATGTAACAGGCATCATGGGCACTGAGGTACAACAAGGAATCTTGGGAAAACTGATCGTTCACATCTATTACTCATAGAAGCTGTAGTTCTCACTTTGGAGAGATCTAGAATTAGGACCACTTGGATGTTCATTTGGTTAAGTCCAGTATCTACTCGGTGCCATGTACTATAGGGAAATCAAGAAAACCATAAAATGGGGTTCCGGTCCTCAAGCTTACTCTCTTGCTGAGACACTATACTCACACATATGAAAAAAACTAAAGAAAAAACTTAATACCATGCAAATATTATAAAACACATAAGTTTCTCTAAATGACAGGTTTTAAATGTGCAGACACTTAAATGTTGAGGATGTTGATATGAGGAATTACACAACTGACCCCTATACCAGTAACACTTTGAACAGTTTTACCAAGAGTGGCATGTTCACATTCTCACGTAATTCCCCAAATACCAATACCATACATTTTGGTGAGGCTCTCAGGGATTAGGAAAAGTTATGGGATGAAACAGAGCACAGAAGATTCATAACACTGGCTTTGTTAACTTTTTCAGTAAATACAGATCGGTAGATTACTATGTGCCGGGTGCTATGCCAAACATTAGAAACAATAAGATGACACCTGCCCTCAAAGAGCTGTCTGGTGGAGAAATGACTGATAAACAATCACAGCACAGTGTAATAGCAAGCACTATGACATGGGGATGCAAGCGCGCTTGGGGCAAACGGGAAACAGAAAGGCTTGTTTTCAGTGTCTAACCGTGTCGGGGTGAACAGTGTTTGTCTAGCACAGCTGCTGAAGACCTGTGCAGCTCCCTGTGCTCACCACAGGGCACTGAGGACTCCTACCACAGGCTAGGAGACTAAAGGATAGCAAAATGCTCTTCTAAAGAGCAAAGCACACGGATTATTTTCTCTGCAAGAAAATTAACATTACAGCACCTGGCATAATGTTGAGCACACAGCAGGCATTCAATAAGTGCTTGCTAAAGTACTTCACTAGGGCAGAGACTGCCTCACATTCTAGTGCAATCTGGTCAGATGTGAAAGGCAGTTCTTAGAAAAAAGGGGGGGAAAGGCATGAAAACTGCCAAAGTCAGCCCTGTCTGCTGACAATGTGTCCAGAAGAAAATCTGTCAATCTAGTACCACAGCCTGAAAATAAATGCTCGATCTGACCCAGCACCGAAGTTCTGAGTGGGCAGGGCCAACTCTCACCTCCTTGATGCGCACTCCCTTCTCCCCTCTAGTGGCATTCAGCAGCAGCTTCCTGAGCTGTTTGTCATCCACGGCCTTGGGGAGATTGTGCAGGCAGAGCCTGGTGCGGGAGACAAAGATATTCTGGTCCTTCAGTTTCTGATGCTTCAGCAGCTCAAACTGAAAGAACAAAAAACTGTTAACAATCCAATCCCCCCTTGAAGAATGCAGGCTCACAGTTCTACAAAAGGAAAGAACCATGACCCCATCCAAAACTAGGCACATAGAGAAAAGGAGGGAAATCACTCAGCCTGCAGCCGCACGATGGCAGCACAGGGAAAGAAAGGATCAGCAGGCAAGACGGTGGGCATGTGGGATAGTCATGGATGGCATCAGACTGAATTCGAAATCAGCCCTAACTGGAGAAGTTAACTGGAGAAATGAAATTTTTTAAGTCACAATTTTTTCACCTACAAAGTGCAACTGTAGATCAAAATACTATGTCAATACAATGTCAATTTCTCAGCAGTGATGCTAGGCCAAAATGGGGAGATATACATAAAATCCTGACCTCAAAACTTGGCCCAGCGTAAATAATAAATAATATTGTAGTTAACATTTATGCCCAGTCCTGAACTACCCACCAACTCAAATTATCTAATCTTTCCAAAAGGAAATAGAACTTCTTTAAAGGATGCTTGAGAGAATGCTGTCTTGTCTCTACTCTGCCACCCTTAGGCAAAGGAATGCCCATGACCATAGAAACCAATTCTGCTTCTAGAGCATCAGCCTCTACTGTCTGCACAAAACACCGACCCAGAGCAGCCTGTCTCCAAGATGAAAGATGACATTCTCCTCCTGATTTGTTTTTAAAATTAGAAAAATTAGTAGAAAAAAGATTCAAATTAATTCTTTCTTTCATTAAGTCTTCTCATTCCTGCCGCTCCTTATTTGCCAAAGGTACTAACAAATCACAAAATAAATGGATGCTCTGGAAATGAACAGTAAAGGGATATTTGAAGAGGCCTAAGTTCAACAGTCTGATTTTTCTTCCAGGAAAAGCTGTGCCTGCTGTGAATTATAATACATATAATCTATGAGCTTTTTGCTAGAAAAATTCATCTAAGAGAAAATTAAATGTGTCACTATTGCAATGTGATCAGAAAAGGGTATATACAATGCCCCTAAAATACCATCGTTTCCAGATACTCAGTAACAAAAAAGGTTGAGAACACCAGTCTAGATAGGAAATTACAAAAAAGACACTGTCGCTATATTCTCATCTCTGTCCACCATCTTCTGCACGTTCAGGTTCCACAACTAATTCTAGGTTGGCTTAGCTGTCTGAAAGTAAGCTATGTGGGCAAAAGTAAAAGATACTGGGAACTAACACTACCAAGCAGCAGAGGAATTTAAGGGCATCCGTCAGCAATAGAAACTCATAACATGGAGCTTTCCAAAAAGGATTGTATAATCTGGAGACCTCCTCCTCCCCAAAATGGACATCTTAACTACCTCAAGACCCACATCTACCTTCTTCCCTACGGAATCCAGCCTACTCTGAACTTCCTTTCTTAGGTCATCCTGCATTTACGCCGACACCTAATTATACACAGCCCTCGCCTCTAATTGTCTGCTACATGATCTCTAAGCATACTCTTCAGCAGACATTACTGTTGAGCATTAGGACAATAAGAATGAGATCCAGTTCTTCTAATGGCATGTAATGGTGAGCTAATATTATGATAACTTTGGGTTATTTGCTGTTTCACCTGCGTGCTTTTTCTCTAACAACAGTGTAAGTAAGGCCTGTTACCAAAACTTGGCTCTTAGATGAACCCCTCTACCATTCAATAATTATTACTTATTGATTTATAAGTCACACAGATCCTGAAGGGTGGTACCTAACCTACTCACCCGTTCTCTTTTGGCCATATCAGCAGCACTCACACCCTCTGCAGCCTTCGTCCCAGCACGAATCACTGCAGAAAGAGGGAAAAAGGCCAAGACATCAGCAAGGGAATTTTCACTGAGCAACAAGAGGAATGTGATTTGAATGATGCAAGCTCTTTGTACAGGGCCCAGAGGACTTTGCTGGCCAGGACATAGAGGCATTTGGGTAGGGCCAGAAATAGGCTACAGGGCTAACTTTTTAGCTCAGAGCTGCTCTCAAGGACTAATACTCTGAACCAGCGATCGTCAACCTTTCAGACCTCGTGGACCACCGGTTGGTGACTGCTGCTCTGAATAGTTTGTAATTTCGTTCCTCTTCTCCTTCCCTCCCCTACATGCCCAATACCAGCTGGTAAAACCTAAAGGAAGTTCTGAAAATAAATACCACATTTTAGGCATTTGGATGCAAAACTGCTCCACCTGTACCCTGGCCCTTGGAATTTCACTGCTCGTGTACTAGGGGATCATTACTAAGTGGTGAAATAAGCCAGCCCAGAAAACAGCCAAATCACCATATAGAGGCCTAGTATCAAACGCTAATGACCTACCATTACCAGTCCACACTGGGCAGTTGTGCAGCAGGTGGGCTGACAAATACTGTATGACCTAGCGGGAGGGATTCTCTTTTTTTTAATTAAAGCTAATTTCTGATTATCTTTTTTTTCTTTAATTTCAGAAAGGAAAGAGAAAGATAGAACATCAATGACGAGAGAGAACTGTTGATTGGCTGCCTCCTGCATGTCCCCTACTGAGGATCGAGCCCACAACCCGGACATATGCCCATGACCGGAATCGAACCCAGAAACCACTAAGCCAAACCAGCTTGGGGTCTGATTATCTTTTTAAGAGAAGGGCACACTACACAATTTAAATCCAAAGAGTAATTTTAGTCATAATTTTCACTCCTTCAGAAAACCACTTATTATAAATCGCCCAGCCAGTGTGACTCAGTGGTTAAGCATCTAATAATACCTATGAACCAGGAGATCACGGTTCTATTCCCAGTCAGGACACATGCCCAGGTTGTGGGCTTGATCCCCAATGTGGGGTGTGCAGGAGACAGCTGATCAGTGATTCTATCTCTTCACTGATGTTTCTGTCTCTCTCTCCCTCTCCCTTCCTCTCCAAAATCAATAAAAATCTTTTTAAAAAAGAAATGATGACAAGAAGCAAAGGTAATTTGAGTTTTTCCTCCCTCTTTGCCCTGCCAATTTGATGAAAGGGACTAAAAGCCAGCAGGCAGAAAAGACGAGACTGGCTCATCTACAAGTTGGGTGAAAGTTTCCAAACAGAAAGCCACATCTACTAAAGTGTAATAATAAAACACTTCTGCCCTGGCCAGTGTGGCTAAGTTGGTTGGAGCATCATGCCATGCATGGGAAGGTCACAGGTTCAATTCCTGGTTAGGGCACATATCTAGGTTGCAGGTTTAATACCATCAGGATGTGTACAGGAGACAACCTAAAGATGTATCTCTCTTACATCAATGTTTCTCTCTTTTTCTTTCTCCCTCTTTAAAATAAAATAAATTTTAAAACAGAAACAAAAAACATTAACATTAAAATAATAATAATAAGCCGAAACCGGATTGGCTCAGTGGATAGAGCATCGGCCTGCGGACTGAAGGGTCCTGGGTTCGATTCCGGTCAAGGGCATGTACCTTGGTTGCGGGCACATCCTCAATGGGGAGTGTGCAAGAGGCAGCTGATCGATGATTCTCTCTCATCAATGTTTCTAACTCTCTATCCCTCTCTCTCTTCCTCTGTGTAAAAAATCAATAAAATATATTTAAAATAATAATAATGATAATAATAATAATAATACACTGCTATTGAGGACATTGGGGTTTTAATCGAAACATGCCCCCAAACATAAACCTTGCTGGGTCACTGTCACAGCACAGGGCCAGCTTCCCAGAGGCCTGGTTCACGTCTCCCATCCACTACTCACAGCCTTCTCGGGCCAGGTAGAGGTTCCGGGTTCCGGTCGGCTTCTTCACCTTCTTTGTTCGCAGCTTTGCAGCCTCATCACGGGTCACTGCCAAGTCAACCTTGAGTTGCCGGCCATCCAATTTCAGCCCCCCACCCTGTAACAGATTGCAACCCTGTGTCTTAAAAGTAAAAACTAAGCAACTGACAAGGAAGGCAAGGAAAGAGGAACAGCAGGCCCCAATTAAGTCATGGAACCCAACCCCAAGATACTGTGGCCCAGCTGACAGCAGTTACCATAGCTGTGCAAAAGGCCATGTGTGTGTTTAGGGCAGTCAGGACTGAATAATTTATTTTACGGGAGATGAATAGGCCCAAAGTAGCCCAAACTGAGGAAACTGATCTGTAAATAGGCAAATTTTTAGTAATCAAAGGAAGTTAATGAAATGGTAGTGTTATCTTTACTCAAGAAAATTTAACAGACAATCGCAATACAAGATAAGTATCTCAAAACAACTTATACTCTGTTATGGAATACACAGAAAAATTCTCCATCATCCACACACTTTCTCAAACATTTACAACCCTTCACAGATGGCCCAATCCTGTCTTGTTACAGTCTTTCATGTCATCAGCTTAGGATAGAGGCCGACATATAGACAGTGATCAATAAATAGCAGGTACATCTTTCTATCTGTTCTCATCTATAAAATAGGAATAATAATTATTCTAACCTCATATAACCCTATAGGGCTGACGTAAGGACTAAATAAGACAATGCATTTGCCTATCTAATGAGCATGCCTATGAGACACTAAGTGCCCAATAACTATAAGCTTTACTATTATTATATTACTGACAACATAATAATAACAATGCTTTGCGTAAACAGCAGGTATTACCCATAGGAGCCACTACTGCCTGGGTTACAGGGTAAAAGAAATGTCTTTCTTACCTCCGTCTCTGCAGAAGCAGCTGCAAGGCATTTCTGAGCTGCTTCTTGAGTCATGAACTGAGCAAATGCACAACCTGTACAGAGACAAAATTCAAGTGAGAATGCTAAACTCCCATGGCCCACCAGGAAGCCAAAGACAACACACAAATGGTGGGAGGCTGATACAAGTGGAAGGGGTGGTAGTATCCTTTAGTTAAATGCTGTTGAGACAGGCACTGTCAGGCACTGATAAAATAGCACAACTGCTCACAACAAAATGTATTACTTCCTTCATCTTTTCCAATACTCCTAGAACTTTAGTCTTATCATCCCTCTGCTTAGTAACAAATATCCACAAGAAATTCCAGCCTACCATTTTATTCAACATAGCTTACTGCATGCCTATTAGAAGATTTAAAAAAAAAAAAAAAAAAGAGGCAGCAACCACTTAACCCTGAAATTAATTAATGACAGATCTCACTGTCATCATTGTTTCTTGGGAGGCATTAGACATGGGAGCACCTGCCTCGTGGAGTAAAAGGCCCAGGCCTCTAGCAAATGAATATGGCAGTGAACCCGAAATCCGTGAGCTCAATTCTCAACTCACAGTCCAATATTTCCACAGGTACCCCCTCACTGGTTAGCCGCAGGGACAATTAGCCCATCCTAATTTCTGTCATTGATATTTAAAAAACCACCATCTTTTTAAAGTACGTTTCATAATATTCTGTTAGTATTCTGCACTGGGGGAGTGATGTTTTATCACCTATAATAATGAATGGCATAAGAAAGGGTGAAATAGCGCCAGTTACAACAACATGGATGGACCTTGAGAATACTATGCTAAATGAAATAAGTCAGTCAGAAAAAGCTAGATGATTTCACTCGTAGGCGGGAGAAAGAGGTCCTAATGGAAGGAGACAGAAGATTTTACTTTGGGTGTGGGCACACGGTGCAATATACAGATCTTGTAACACAGAAACCCACACCTGAAACTTATGTGTTCGTGTTGACCATGCCTCCCCAATCAATTTAATTAATAAATTTTTTAAAAATGAATGAATGGCAGCAGACTCAGTGAAAGAACACAGGGGCAGGCCAACCCATCTAATGCGATCTTTCCTGCCTCCTCCAGGCACAGCCAAGTGTCCCACCCTGCCAGTCCTTCACTCACATCTCTATTTACAGCACCGTGCAAATGGCATCTTCACAGAAAGACTAAGTGCTTCCGGAATAAGGGCCAGTTTCTTGGCTGTTCCCATATCGCTAGCACCTACCATAATGCCTGGCATTAATAAATACTGCATATGAGGAAACAAACAAAACCAAAATATGGGGAGGAAATGTCTCTAACAGGCAGATTATTCTATTTGTCCAATATGAAAAAAATGGGTATTTCTCTTTGAATGGGTAGGGATTTTATCATTGGAATTTCCAGGGACAGTACTGAATTCATATACTTAATACTTCCCTAAAAGTCTGCAGATAATATTCAGCTCTTTCAGGCAGTGAAATGGCTTGCTGACAGGGATAAACTAGAGGAGGAAGCCAAAGTTGTATGAGTGAGTAGGCAGAAAAAGTGCCAGAAAAATTTAATTATGAGCTAGGGAAAAGACATGCATTAAGAAAAAATAATGGCCGGGACCGGTTTGGCTCAGTGGATAGAGCGTCGGCCTGCGGACTGAAAGGTCCCAGGTTCGATTCTGGTCAAGGGCATGTACAGTGGTTGCGGGCACATCCCCAGTAGGGGGTGTGCAAGAGGCAGCTGATGGATGATTCTCTCTCATCCATGTTTCTAACTCTCTACCCCTCTCTCTTCCTTTCTGTGAAAAATCAATAAAAAATATATTTAAAAAAAAAAAAATGAAAACTATACTTAAGATCATTAACTCTTAACTAAAATTAACAGACCAAGGAAGAGATTGAAGCAAGTCAACTATAGACTACATCCTGAAAATATTAACCCAATACAGCACACACTCAAAAAAGGGACAAAAGACATCACACTAAAGCAATATCCTACCATACTTGAAACATTCTATGCAATTCCAGTTGCCCATTTCTAGAAAATCATACTGGAAATAGAGAAGTATAATTGAATATCAGTGCTTAAGTGATTACTCTAGTTGAACACACTAATTTTACAGACAAGAAACAAAAGCCCACAGTGGTTAAATGATTTGCCAAAAATCACCCGGCTGGGCTATGGTTTAGCTGGAATTAGATCCCTAATCTCCAGAAAGCAGTTCCATTTTCTTTCCATCATAAGGCCTTATGTACATCTTTTTTAGCCAAGTAAAACCCAAAAATGCTCATAAGAAGATTTAAAAAGTAGGTTAACAATCCATGGATAGGCTACAGGGAGACCACAAACCCTCAGAAGTGGCCTTTTTCTGAGGAGTTCATTCATAGCTTTTGGTAAGAAGTAAAGGAATCAAGAATCAGAATGAATTAAAAATTCACTTCCCATCCAGTGTGGTTGTTGAGCATCAACCTATGAACCAGGAGGTCACAATTCGATTCTGGGTCAGGGCTCATGCCCAGTTGCAGGCTCAATTCCTAATAGGAGGCATGCAGAATGATTGATGATTTCCTCTTATCATTAATGTTTCTATCTCTCTCTCCCTTTTTTTCTGAAATAAATACACACACACACACACACACACACACACACACACATTTTTTTTTAATGCCCTAGCCAGTTTTCTCAGTGGTTAGAACACCAGCCCTCAGACCAGAGTGTCATGGATTCAATTTCAATCAAGATCATGTCCCACGTTTTTGGGCTACTCAGCCCTGTTCAGGATGTGTGCAGAAGGCAACCAACCAATCTTTCTCACTCTCTCTTCCCATCTCTTCTTTCCTCCCTCCTCCTTTTCCTCTAAAAATCAATGGAAAAAATATCCTCAGGTGAGATTAAAAAGAAAAAAGAGAGCGCCCTCGTCGGATAGAGCACTGGCCCACAGAATGAAGGGTCCAGGGTTCCAATCTAGTCAATGACATGTACCTTGGTTGCAAGCTCGATCCCTGGGCCCTGGTCAGGGCGTGTGCAGGAGGCAGCCAATCCATGTGTCTCTTATATCGATGTTTCTCTCTCTCTCTCTGTCTCTCCCCTTCCTTCCACTCTCTTTAAGAATCAATGGAGCCCTAGACTGTTTGGCTCAGTGGACAGAGTGTTAGCCTGTGGACTGAAGCCTCCCAGATTTAAATCCGGCACATGCCTAGGTTGGGGGCTCGATCCCCAGTGTGAGACATGCAGAAGGCAGCCAATCAATAATTCCCTCTCATCACTGATGTTTCTCTCTCTCCCGCTCCCTTTCTCTATGAAATCAATAAAAATATATTTTAAAAATTAATGAGAAAATATCCTTGGATGAGGAGTAACAACAACAAACACATAAAAAAAAGAATTCATTGCTTTAAGAGAATGACTGCAGTTGATGAAATCAAAGATTATGAAAAGTAATATACTGAAATGAGGATGGTCAACCCTGAAAGCTCAAAGAAATAGTTTTAGGAAAAAATAATCTAAGGCAGAACCCCTCTTACACAGTTTTCTTTCTGACTGCTACCACTGCGACAAAGTTTCTATCATCTTTCATCTCTAAGAAACGTAACTAAAAAGATCCCAGTTATGCCAAGCAATGTGGAATAATTAATACCCATGAGATGTTATCACATTTGAAATTCAAAGAACAACAAATGGAATTCATTACCCTAAAGTAAATAACTGAGGGCTTAAAAAGCTTAGACAAAATTATGGCTGGCAGCTGCATGAAATATGCTGCATGAATTTGACCTCAGAGAAGACAACCTCAGAATGCCTTTGATGCTTCTATGGACCACAGAAACTTGGGCTGAATGCGAACCTTTCAGTGCCCATGGCAGCAGTTTCTCTCTTCTAGGGCCTGACCAGCTGACAACAAATACCTTTAGAATGCTCTGTGTCTGGATGTAAGACAATGCGGACATATTTAAGATCTCCAAATTGCTGGAGGAGCTCCCCAAGATCTTCTTCCTCCGAGTCAAAGGACAGGTTTCTATGGAAGACAATTAAATCACAAGAAAGGTCAATTACAAAGATCCCATGTTCTTTGTACAAAATGAGCGAGTTAGACACCAACTGGAGTGGTTCCCTTGCTCAAGACCACCCAGCCTCATTCAGGAAAAGCACCAAAAGGGGAAGCCTCCAATGGCCAGATTTCTGATGTATGACTCTGCCCCTTGACCTTCCTCTGAGAATCAGATTCTCTGTCCAGGAATTTAAAACTTGAACAGTTATACAAAGACCAGAAGTTTTAGATGCAGATTCACTTCAAAACAGCAGTGTCCCACTCAAGGGAAGCTTATGTCTTGATCTGGGTGGTGGTTACATGGATTTATGTATACATTCATATATGCAATATGCACATGTAAATGTATATGAGCATTTACATGTTTTGCTACACCTTGTATATAAATATGAAACATTTCACTGAGTTGTGCATTTACATTAATACATTCCACAGAATTTGTTATACCTTCAGAAGTTAAAAAAAATAGCCCTAGCCGGTTTGGCTCAGAGGATAGAGTGTCGGCCTATGGACTGAAGGGTCTTGGGTTCAATTCCTAGTCGCAGGCTCAATCCCCAATAGGGACTGTGCAGGAGGCAGCCAATTAATGACTCTCTCTCATCGTTGATGTTTCTCTCTCTCTTTCTCTCCCCCCCTCTCCCTTCCTCTCTGAAATCAGTAAAAATTTTAAAAGAAGTTAAAAAAAAACCAGTGGGGTGTCCTCATAGAAAAGACCATGCAGCGGAAGTCCCAGAACTGTCCAGAGTTTCATCCCACTCTTAAGGTTTGCTCTTTGACAAGTACGATTCTACCATGTTTCCCCGAAAATAAGACATCCTCCAAAAATAAGACCTAGCGCATGGAAAGATAAGACATCCCCTGAAAATAAGACCTAGCGCAACTTTGGGAGAAAAATTAATATAAGACACTGTCTTATTTTCGAGAAAACAGGGTAGTAGACCAATCTAACATTTATCCAACAAACCTGCTTTTTCACTTAAATTGGCCAAAATTACTTTCCTGATTACAAACAAAATATTCAAATGTGTGTGTCTCTCTCATTAGCCATTTTCTTCTCAGTGTTGCTATAAAATCTCAGTTTCAGTTAAAATTTTTTAGAAGTCAGAAAATCCTTCAAGTGAAGAGATTATAGAGTACAAGTTGGTTGTTACAAAACAGTCATAGGGATGTAAAGTACAGTATAAGGAATATAGTTAATAATATTGTAAGCTCTAACCAGTTTGGCTCAGTGGATAGAGCATCGGCCTGCAAATTAAAGGGTCCCAGGTTCTATTCGGGTCAAGGGCATATGCCCAGGTTGTGGGCTCAATCCCCAGTAGAGGGCGTGCAGGAGGCAGCCAATCAATGATTCTCATTGTTGATATTTCTATCGCTTTCTCCCTTTCCCTTCCTCTCCAAAATCAATAAAAACATATTTTTAAAAGTAAATAAATATAAATAATATTATAGTAACTATTTATGATGTCAGGTAGGTACGAGACTTATGTGGAGGATAACTTTGTAAATTACATAATTATCTAATCATTATACTATACACTTGAAATTACCTGTAATATAATAGTGAATGTTAACTATTAATGAAAAAGTAAAAAAAGATTTAAGAAAATTTTTATTAAAAAAAAAAAATCCTTCCAAATAACTCAAAAACAAACATGGCAAAGTTTTGTGACTAAGTGCAAAAAACAAAACTACATATTTCTCTCCATGGGATTAAAAAATGTTGGAAGGAGATTTTGTTCTACTATATTTCAACACAGTGTAGAGTCCTCATTTCCCCAGCTATACACAACCTTCCAAGGGTAAGAAAAAGTCCCAAGTAAATATCTACAATTTTGACCCTGGATGGTGTAGCTCAGATGGTTGGACATTATCTATGCACTGCGAAGGTTTCTGGTTTGATTCCTGCTCAGGGCACATGCACTGGTTTTGGGCTCAATTCCCAGTAGGTGGCATGCAAGAGACAGCTGATCAATGTTCCACTCTCACATCAATGTTTCTCTCTCTCTCCCTCTCTAAAAGAGCAATAAAAAATATTTAAAATAAATATCTAGTTTTAGTTCTCTTAAACTCAGTTAACAACCCCATAAATGATTCTATCTTATGCAGTAACTGAGATTAAAAAAAAAAAAAATGTTCTGGCCCAGCAGGTATGGTACAGTGGTTGAGCATCAACCCATGAACTAAATCACAGTTCCATTCCCGTTCAAGGCACATAACCAGGTTTCAGGCTCAATCCCCAGGAGGAGGCGTGCAGAAAACAGCCAATCAACAATTCTTTCTCACCACGGATGTTTCTAGCCCTCTCTCCCTCTCTCTGAAATCATTAAAAAAATTAAGTAAATGTTTAAAAAGTTCTGCAATTAGACATATCCTAGCTACATTACTTCTTCTAATATGCCTTATCATGTACATAATTTTCTTTCATCACTTTACCTTCCTAAGTTCTTTGTTAATTTAAATGATGTATAAGGAACAGTACCCTTGATATTGAGATCACAGGCTTCTAAATGTAATGTTTCTTCCTTCCTGTTAAAATCCTCTGAAAGTAAAAAATTATTTATATGGCAATTCCATGTAACACAGTAAAAAGAAGTTATGGAGAGACATGCTGCAAAGAAAAAAATGGGTTATAGCACAGCATGCATAGGCTAAACTCATCTTTGTAAATATTTATGATGATGAGGGCATGTGTGTAGGTGTTCTCTGAGTAGTGATTAAGGTTAATGTTTTTGTGTCTTTCTGCACATTTATTTCCTAAATTTCCTACACTAAACATAAATTACTTGTATAATAAAAACAATCTCAGAAGACTGTGCAAGAGGATAAAATATACATCTACACAAATAAAGAGGAACATGCAAATTAAACATCACTCTGCTATACCAAGCCACACCCACCAGCCAGTCAGGAGCAAGTCTGTAAATTAACCCAATCAAGATGACGGCCAGCCATGGAGCTGGAGCAAGCAGGAGGTTTGTGTTCTCCCGACAATGGAGGAAGCCAAGCTTCCCACCTGCCCTGGCCGGCTCTGGCCTCCACTCAAGGCTAAAAAGTTTCAATTATAGAAGATAAATAAATCCTAGATTCTTGCTTCCAGCTGGGAAAGTTAGGCTTGAAGAGAGAAATTGTGTGAGATAAGTGGTGTCACCACTCTCTAGCACTCCCCTTACAAGAAAGGCCAGCAGTGCCCTGCTGGTGTGGCTCACTGGCTGAGCACTGACCTATGAACAAGGAGGTCATAGTTTGGTTCCCAGTTTGGGCACATGTCCAGGTTTTGGGCTCGATCCCCAGTAGGGGGCATGCAGAAGGCAGCCAATCAATGATTCTCTCTTGTCATTGATGTTTCTATTTCTCTCTCCCTTTTCCTTCTTCTCTGAAATCAATAAAAATATATTAAAAAACTAAAACAAGTAGGATGTCTCTCATAATTGAAGAATTGATTTATTCCAAATGATGCCACCCCAATTACAAAGAATGAAATCTAAATAGGCCCTAGCTGGTTTGGCTTGGTGGATAGAGTATCGACCTGAAGCCTGGAGGGTCCCGGCTTCGATTCCGGTCAAGGGCATATGACTGCATTGTGGGTTCAATCTCTAGTTTGGGGCATGCAGAAAGCAGCCAATCAATGATTCTCTCTCATCACTGCTGTTTCTATCTCTCTCTCCCTCTCCCTTCCTTCCTGAAATCAATGGGAGGTGGGGGGGGGGGGATTATAAAAATAAAAAGAATACAAGGAAAATACATGATAACCCCTGCAATGCTCTGTGTCAGCTCAGGACATGATAACCCCTGCATAAATACTTCTATATATGGTTCTTATTCTATGTTTCTCATTGTTTGCTATTCTCCTAGAGCCAGATGTGCTAATGATCTTAGAGGCATCAAACTTCTGGTCTAGTTAATAGAACTAGTACAAGAAAGCAAAGAGGGGAAAAAAGGAGAAGAGAAAAGGAAGAGAGGGAGAGAGGAAGGTTAAGAGAAACCTATGATGGCAACACAAATAGAGCAGTTCTTAAAGCAAAAAGGCATACCTTATAAAAACAGTTTTCCCTTCATTCACATCAGAGGGTAATTTCCTCTTCTTTTTCTTTGAGACTTGTACATCTAAAGTAAAAAAAATCACAACAACCTGAAAAATACTAATGTAAGCCATACAACAAAGAGCTAACTTCTTAAATATATAAAGATATTGCATAATTCAGTAAGGAAAAACATCAATTTAAAATGAACAAAGGATATGCAAATATATATATATGAAAAGATTGTCAAGCTCACTCATCATTAAAGAAAAACAGCACAAGAAATTAGATACATTTTTTTTACCAACAGATCGGAAAAAAAACAAAAAGATAGTTAAAACCTAATGTGGTAAAGATATGGAATAAAAAATAGAGTCCCAAATGCTGCTGTGAAAATGTAAACTTTTTAGAAATATAAAACATAGAACACTTGAAAAAAAAATAACACATTCACACATATAATATACACTATATTGTATATGTGTATGTTTTTACCCATAACCTTTAGATATGCCAGAAACATAACACTGGCTGTCTCTGGGGAGGGATCCTCAGAGAAGATCCCTGAATCTTCTCTGAGGATCCCTCCCCAGAGATGGCTAAGAATCTGGGTATAAGGGAGACTCACTGTTTGTTTCTAAGAACAGATATCCATGCTTATATATACATGGAAACTTTCAGGAAAGATACAAAAGAAACAACAGTGATTACTTTGGGGGACCTTGAGGGATTGGTGAGGAACTTTTACTTTCTATACAATACTCTTCTGTAGTATACTTTTTAATGTTCTCTCATTATTATGTATTAGTCCCATAATTTTTTCAAGTGAAAGAAAGGTAATAGACAGCTGAATCTGGTTGTAGAATGCAAGGTCTTGTAGTCCCTTCAGTATAAAAGTTTCTTTGATTTTAAGGTATCTACCATTCTCTCCTCAGGGAAAAAGATTTTCCTTCAGATTTCTTATATGGTCCAACCAACATGCCAGCCTTACAGAAAAGGAAGCAGAAGGGAGAGACCTGATAAGTAAACAAAAACCTCCATCCACACAAAATAAAGGACCAGTTATTGGCCACTCCTCATTCTGCAATTACCTACTTCCCTCAATAAATGCTTTGAGTTTGCCCAACATTGCTGGTAAACATAGCTATAGCATTTGGTTACCGTTTTACAAAATGGCCCAAGAAGTCCTTTATACCCATATCAACTCAGAAGAGTTGTTTAAAATCCACCTTGGTGTTAAATGTAATATCCTGTTTATCCAATTTTCATTCCGGGCTGGATAAGTAGAGAGATTAATCAAGAGAAAGAGGTAGAATTAAGCTACGTTTTAAATTCCCTAGGTATATTTACCCTCAAGCAGCACTTTAAACTCATTTAAAAACCAAAACCAAAATAATAACAAGTTTTCATCTTCAGCATTTCAGCATAAATTTGACAAAACACCTTAGAGTCCTATTTAAAGAGGCCTGCACTGCACCGATGCAATTTCTCGTATTAATTTAAATTTGAAAATCCCAGGCAAACCTTTATCTTCCAGCTCTTCAGTGTCGGTGTCACTCTGAGCCAGGTCCTCTCCACTATCAACACTCCCTCCTTCCTCCAGGCCGCTGTCCTCATCAGAATGATCCTCATCACTGCTTTCTGAGGGCACTGGTCTCTTGACTGCTCTGCAATGGACAGTTTAAACTAAGAACTAAGAACATTGGCAGACAGAGGGGGCTGCCCAACTCTATGTCAATTCCGCAATGATGTGGACAGGAAAAGTCCTCCCTCCCTCCCCCCCCAGACACCATCCTGAATCTTCCTCTGTTGTCTCAGAACAAGCTAAGCGGCTTACTTCATGTGAATTTGCACACACTTGGTTACTTTCGACTTTTTATTCTTCTCCTCCTCTTCATCATCGCCATCTTCATCATCATCCTCCTCTTCCGTATCACCATCATCATCATCATCATCATCATCCTCTTCCATATCACCATCATCATCATCCTCTTCCTCTTTCATAACCTCTTCTTTCCTGCCATTCACTTTACCTAGTTTCTGAAGTTTAGGTTCAGGTTGCTTCTCCTCACCTGCACAAGGAAGTAAAGAAAGTTAGAAATTAATTCTATATCTAAAAAAAGTTTATTTTAAAAGTAAATAATACCCAGCCAGGCCCGGAGCAGTGGCTGCCAGGCTGGGAGTGGCCAGGCACGGAGCAGAAGCTGCCAGGCTGGTAGTGGCCAGGCCCGGAGCAGCGGCTGCCAGACTGGGTGCGGCCAGGCCCGGAGCAGCGGCTGCCAGGCTAGGAGCGGCCAGGCCCAGAGCAGCCGGGTCGGGTGCGGCCAGGCCCAGAGCAGCGGCTGCCAGGCTGGGAGCGGCCAGGCCCAGAGCAGCCGGGTCGGGTGCGGCCAGGCCTGGAGCAGCGGCTGCCAGGCTGGGAGCGGCCAGGCCCAGAGCAGCCGGGTCGGGTGCAGCCAGGCCCAGAGCAGCAACTGCCAGGCTGGGAGCGGCCGGGCCCAGAGCAGCCGGGTCGGGTATGGTCAGGCCTGGAGCAGCATTTGCCAGGCTGGGAGCGGCCAGGCCCAGAGCAACAGCGGCCAAGCCCGGAGCAACCAGGTCGGGAGCGGCAGTGACCAGACCCGGAGCAGCTGGTTGTGGAATGAACCAGAGCAACAGAGGCCAGGCCCGGAGCAGCCAGGCCCGGAACAGCTGGCTCCTCACCTACCCCCGCCCCAACGCTGCATCTCAGACATGGCTGGAAACTTTTGCGGGAACTTGAGGGTCTGCTGAATCAAGTGATGAAGGCTTAGATCTGGATGTGTTGAGTTAGTTTAGGGCTGGGGTGTTGATCTGTGAGTGCCTTGTGCGGGGCCTAGATGAGGTTGGTTGACCTATTTGGAAATGTCTTTTGGGTGAAGTGTATCTTTGGGCATATGGAGGTATTATTGATATGAGAAAATGCTAAGTAACTGATTTACTATCTGAAAAGGGATTTACTATTGGGGAAAGGGAGGGAGGAAGAGTCTGAACATAAACTGTGCACCTATGGATGAGGACAATGGGGGAGGGGAAGGGGGCGGAGGGGGGGTGGACCCTGGTGGAGGGAGGAAGAAATGAGGAACCTTTGTAATAATATGAACAATAAAGTTTGATTTAATAAAAAAAATTAAAATAAAAAAATAATAAAAATTTAAGAACTTTAAAAAAAAAGAAACACAAGGCCAGTTAATAAAGAAACAGAGTGTGCGGGGGGGTAAAATAAAATAAAAGTTAAAAAAAAAAAAGAAAAGAACACCATCAAGTTTCTAGTTCCTTTAGTTTTACAGAATCTCATGTATTTTTCTTATCTTAATAATAGACAAACATGTAAATTGACCGTACCTCCACTACACCCACAGCCAATCAGAGTGAGTATATAAATTAGAAGGCCAAAGATGGCAGCTGGCCATCTGCTCCAGGCGAGGAGTGGCCAGGCGGGGCAGGACGCCTGCTATGAGAGGAAGGGCGGGGGGGGGGGGGGGGGGGGGGAAGGGATCTACAGGAGCAGAGTGCCGCAGTGAAGACAAGACTGCAGACTCCGGAGTCTGCAGCAAAGATATCAGACTCTGGCAGAAGTTTGCATCGAAGATGAAGATAGCAGACTCCAGGCGGAGTCTGCAGCAATGACAAAGACGGCAGACTCCAGCCGGAGTCTGCAGGGAAGCGGCGAAGAAGAAAGCAGACTCTGGCCAAAGCGAAGGTCTGGGTCCCGGGTGCCAGAGGAAAACCGGTGCTGGAAGCCAAGGGAAGGAAGGTCTGTTGCCTGAATCTCTTTGTGCAACAGGCTCTAGATGTATAGAATAAGAGAAAGTATGAAGAAGAAAAAAAAGAAATAAAATCCTTCTAGGCTGTCACATTCACTCATCAAAAGCCTGAAGGTTATCTGGCTCAGCATGAGAGAAGCAGCAACTGAGCCTCCACAAACAGCTCACCAACCTGCACCACAGCCAGCACAATGCACACTCTGGAGGCATTGAACTTGAATCTCAGTGAGCTCTGGGTAGCCTGAAACTTGAATCTCAGTGAGCTCTGGGTAGCCTGAAAGCCAATTGTTTTCTAAATAAAATGCAAGTTTTAATTTTCCCTATTCTTAATGTTCCATCATTTCTTACTATGAAAAGCTAAGAAAGGACAGGAAGTAGAGGGAACAATGAACTCAGACCCACTCCTCACTCCACATCCAGGAGTGGGCTTAGACTCAAAAAATCCTATGTTTTGGACCCCAGCTGGTTTGGCCTGCAGGCTGAAGGGTTGAGGGTTCGATTCCAGTCAAAGACATGTACCTTGGTTGCGGGCCTGACCCCCGCACTGGTCTCTGTGAAAGGCAACCAATTAATGTGAGAGACACATCAATGTTTCTCTGTGTGTGTGTTTCTCCCCCTTCCTTCCACTCTCTAAAAATCAATGAAAAAATATCCCCAGGTAAAGATTAACAAACAAACAAAAAAAGAACCTATGTTTTGGGATCAGGTCACCAGATGGGACAATATGAATTGGCAATCAGCTCTGGGTTTCTGAGCCAGAAGGTATTCAGAGTTTTTCTTATTACTCAGTCTCATTTGGGGGGGGGGGGGAGGGGGGGGAGGCTCTGTGCTTTTGTTATCTCCAGCTCAATATTCTCACTGACAAGAAAATTCCTACATATTTTTATTGTAGAGTTGCTTCCACACTCACCCCAAAACATGCAACCCCTCCTATGCAGCACCACCACATCTTACCTGGGGCAGAGGCAGACTGTGTATTTTTATATTTATCCTTTGCCACAGCCCAATCCACAGCTACTGTCCGACCTGTCAGACAGAAAAGTAACATCTTTTTAACTCTTCTATCTCCTTATTCATCAAAGAATAATGGTCTTAAAATAAAACTCCTAATAACTGTCTATTCTTGTTAAACCATAACCTTTCTTTTAACAATGAACATAAATTTTGCCTTCCTACACAGCTACCACACCTGGGATAAGATATAATTTTAAAAAAATAATTAGAACATTGCTTCCAGTTAGACCAAGTTTCCAGTTAGCAAGAAGCAAAACAGTCCTGGCCAGTTTGGCTCAGTGGATAGAGCATCAGTCTGGGGACTGAAGAATCCTGGGTTCGATGCCAGTCAAGGGCACATGCCCAGGTTGCGGGCTCAATCCACAGAAGGGAGTGTGCAAGAGATAGCCAATCAATGATTCTCTCTCATCATTGATGTTTCTATCTCTCCCTCTCTCTTCCTCTTTGAAATCAATAAAAATATTTTTTTTTTTTAAAAGAAGCAAAACAGGCATTTTAGAATAATTTGCACTACAGTCAGAAGGTAGGAAGTCTCTAAGCCAATCCTTCTTTACTACCTGGTAAATCAATACCCAGAGTAGCCTCATGGTCAATTTACTAGCCCATGGATGCTAACTAATGCTTATAACCAAGAAGGAAAAACCTACAAATTTCATATCTTCCTAGACCAGTGGTCAGCAAACCATGGCTCGTGAGCCATATGCAGCTCTTTGGTCCCTTGAATGTGGCTCTTCCACAAAATACCACATGTGGGCACGCACATACAGTGCAATTGAAACCTCGAGGTCCATGCGCAGAATCAGTTTTCAGCTCTCAAAAGAAATTTCAGTCATTGTACTGCTGATATTTGGCTCTGTTGATTAATGAGTTTGCCGACCACTACCCTAGACAATGACCTACATCCATCAGTGATTATTTCAAGAACATTTTTTCATTAGGATTTAAAAGAACACTCATCTCCAAATAAAAAAGAGAATAATGACATGGGTTCTTTTGAGTTTAACCCTAAGATCAAATGTTAGGAATACTTCACCAAAATAGTTTCTATATTAGCAGTGAGACTTTCAATAATGCAAATACCTTTTGAAAATATAGCAAGTGGGACACTATGCTAATTCACCCCAACACCAGAAATATCTAGGCCAATGGTATGGGCACTGAAAACTTACCCTTTATCTCTTTCATGTTCATGCTTTTAAGAGCTTTTCCTGCTTCTAGAAGGTTTTTGAACTGAACAAAAGCAAAACCACGCATCTTTCCATCTGTGAGCAAGTACACAAAAATGTTAGAAGCAGCAGGTGGAAAGCCAACAAACCCAAGAATATACAGCAACACCGGCTGCCAGGCAGCCAGCCCCTTTCCCAAAACTTATATCCTCCTATTGAGTATACCCTGACTTGGGCTTGGAATAATGCATTTTCTCACACTGTAACTTGTCTTCTAAAACTAGTTCTCATCTAACTAAAAATCTAATTCAGGGGATATCTAAACTAAAAATACCTAACTTAAATACCGGCATTATTACATGAGTTTTTATTACTGTGCCTAATATTTTATATATATCACATCATCTAGGGCTCACAAAGAATATGACATGAACCTTGCATTTCTAGTTCTAATGATGCTTAATTCAAGGGTAATATGCATAAAGACCATTATGCTAAATACATTCATCTAATCCATACCAATGAAGGTTTGCCACTACCTGGCTTCCTAGGGATGTTCACTTCTAGGACGGCTCCATATTGAGCAAATATGGTCTTCAAGTCATCTTCTGAACACTGAAGACAAAAGTAAAGAAAGAAAAGGAGAGATTATCTCAGCAAGTAAACATGGAACACTAATTACTAGATTAATTCATTAGGAAGAACTTGAGTATTTTTACTCCTCTTTTACTTTTGAAATTAGGACAAACATTTCTAAAGACTTCATCTTGCTCTGTATCTAAGAAGCAAAAGGGACAAATATCAGACAGCTTCCCCCCAAAAAAAATTTCTCAGGAAACATCTTCCCTTCTTGTCTTAGTCCTTGTGTATACAGGCCCAGTTTCTGGATTCAGCCAGGCTAAGGTTCATTCCCAATTTATTTACCATCAGGAGAGGAGTTCCACCCATGACCAACAGCTTTCAGAATAGGCAGTGTCAGCGTTCTGTCACTCACCTTAAAGCTCAGATTCCTGATAATTAATCTGGCTTTCTTATCTGCCACCTTGGCCTTTTTAGGCTTCTGTTCCTTCTTTGGGGACTCTGAATTTTCTAAAAAATAAATAAATAAATTTTTTAGAAAATAAATTTTTTAGAAAATTTCTTTCCTAAAAAAATAATAAACCATCCACCTTGAGGCCCAGGACAGCACAGGAAAAAAGCTACCAGCAGTAAACGGCATTTACCACAGGGGCTGGTATGACAATACCCAGGACCACAGATTTTCCAGACTTAGAAGTAAGCAGAATACATTGGATAATTTTGGATATAAAAACAAAATTCAGGAAGCTCTAAATTTGGAAGATTCCCACACCCTCATCCTGTCATTCCACTTCCTCTTCACCCTGGAAGAAAACTCGCTTCAGTTACTGGAAACTCACCATTTCCCCCCTTTTCCTTAGACTTGTTCCTCAGTTTCTTCTTGGCAACACTCACGCTGATCTTGCAGCCTTCAAAAGTGGTGATCTCCTTGAGGGCCCTTTGAACATCTTCCCGCATAGAAAAAGTGACATAGCCAAAGCCTCGACATGCCTTACTCCCTGAACAAGAAGGAGGAAAGATCATCATCAGTCAAGAGACCTAAACCAGTGAATTCTCAAAGTGCTAAATTAGCAGATACACTGCCAGGCCATCCTATCATCAGTTTGCCAAAATCTTCCAGCCGGATAGAAACAAGGTTGACATCAGTGGCCCCTTCACTACTTTGCTCAGAACGTGTTGGGTTTCCTCTTCTGCTTTGGTGTCTTTGCTGATGGCTTCTCTTCTTCCTCCTTTCCTGATAATCTCAAGATTATGGAGGCTCTGTGACAAAAATTACACCCCCAAAGAAGGACTTGCCACAATTTCTCACAAAAGTCTGCCCACTCACCTTTCTGAAAATAAGACCAAGAAAAATCAGGACTCTTCCTGATCAGTACAACCAAAATAAAGCAGCTGAAACATGAAGGACTTCAGTGCCAAAATAAAAATGTACCCACAATAAATGCTGTGCACTGTGTATGTCTGCACAAAGCACATATTTACTTGAATCCTCACAACAATCCTGTGAAATTATTCCCATCTTAAGTGGCAGGCCCAAGTCACTAATACAGAGTAAGACTTCATCTCATACCCTCCCTTCCATCCCACCAGGTGCAGCACTCTTTCCAATATATCTAGGCTGTCTGAACAGAAAAGTATATGGTTTCTTAATAAGAAAATAAGAGCTTTCTTTAAAGATTTATACACAGGTAAAAGGTAAGATTACATATAGCCTATACTCTGAGGACTCAAAGAAGAATTCCCACTCAATAGCCTGTTCTTCCCCTAAAACACAATATCCCAGACTGCAGTGTTTCTTAAATTGTTTTGAGTAATGAATGTAACTCATTATGTGAAGCTAGTCCATATATATATATATATATATATATATATATATATATATATATATATATTCCTATATAAAACAAACAAAAAAGTTCTATGAATACTTATGCTTTACCATATATGAATATACTCCTAGTTCATTTAAAAATTAGAGGCCCGGTGCATGAAATTTGTGAACTCAGGGAGGGGTCCCTCAGCGTGGTCTGTGCCCTCTCGCAGGCTGGAAGCCCTAGGGGGATGTCTGACTGACAGCTTAGGCCTGCACCCACCTAAGTCGGCAGTCGGACATCTTTAGAGCTCCCAGGGAGGTGGGAGAGACTCCCACCACCGCCACTGACTCACCAGCTATAAGCCCAGCTCTGGCTGAGCCGTGCTCACCCTTGGGAGTACACTGACCACCAGGGGGCAGCTCCTGCATTGAGCGTCTGCACCTTGGTGGTCAGTGTGCCTTACAGCAACTGGTCATTCTGCCATTCGGTCAATTTGCATATTATCCTTTTATTACACAGGATTCTAGTCAATCACTAATGGGCAATGATCTGCAGTTTAAGAAGCATTGCTATATAGCACTCTCATTCAGCCATATCTATACTTAAAATAACAAATAATCAGGCAGGTGCAATGACTCAAATAGCAATTAGAGCCACGTTGACAATCCTACTCTAACTTACATTACTAACAAAATAGAACCTAAGGATGCAGTGATTGTTAGCACACTGTCAGCCTACCTACTCACATTCTCAGATACCATGGGGGTGGGGGGAGCACAAGATGCCAATTCCCACCACTTGTTCTGCTGAAAGGCAAAGAGCCACCTAGAGACAGACTGATGACTTAGAGGGAACTAAACTAAATGTATGCTCTGGGTAACATCAGGTGCCTGTCTTGAGTATCCCTAGTCTAGGTAAGAGAAAGGAATGCTTCTACAATTAAAACCCTACAACTCATCCTCATTCTAATACATGCCATCCCTCCCTCACAGTGATGTGATGAGCATCAAACAGAACGTGAAGCATACAGCAGAAATCCACAAGTCAGTAAATATCTCCAGAGGCTCAAGCCAAAAAATTTAGACTGAGATTTGACTCTTTAACCCCTCTTTTTCTCATACCCCACATCTGATCCATCAGCAAATCCTCTCAGCTTTACCTTAAAAAATATCCATATTCTGCCTTAGCCAGTTTGGCTCAGTAGATAGAGCATTGGCCTGCAGACTGAAGGGTCCCAGGTTTGATTCCAGTCAAAGTCACATGGGATTGTGGGCTCTATCCCCAGTGGTGGGGGGGAGGGGCATACAGGAGGCAGCCAATCAATAATTCTCTCTTATCATTGATGTTTCTATCTCTCTCTCTCTCTCCCCATCTCCCTTCTCTGAAATCAATAAAAATACATCATATATATATATATATATATATATATATATATATATATATATCCCTAACTGGTTTGGTTCAGTGGATAGAGTATCGGCCTGCAGACTGAAGGGTCCCAGGTTTGATTCCAGTCAAAGGCATGTACCTTGGTTATGGGCACATCCCCAGTAGGGGGTGTGTAGGAGGCAACTGATCAATGTTTCTCTCTTATCAATGTTTCTAATTCTCCCTCTTCCTTCCTCTCTGTAAAAAAAAAAAAAAAAAAATCAATAAAATATATTTTTAAAAATAAAATAATAAATATATCCACATTCTAATCACTTTTTACCACCCATGGCTATCATCCTAGTCCAACACCATAGTCTCTCACCTGGATTATTACAAGAGGTCTCCCTGTTTCTGTTCTATTCTCCAATAGCCTACTTTCAACACAACGGCCTGACAGAATCTTTCAAAATGTAAACCAGACCGGAGGATCCAAGATGGCTGCTCGGGTAGACATCTAACTGCGGCAGCACACAAAAATTTCAATGGAATACAACTAAAATGTAGAGTGGACATTGCCCAGAGCTACAGGTAGTCGACTGACTGAAAATTCTACAACAAGAAGGAAAGAGAAAACCAGAAGGAAAATCAGAGGAGCTGAAAAAAAGCCTAAGGTACGGAGACATGCTGCTCGCCTGCCCGCACGTGCGCGCGGAGAGGTCGCAGCCGGAGAGGAGGAGAGGGCGGGGAGCTGCCTTTCCTTCCCTAGCAGGAAGGAAATAAAACCCCCAGCCTGGGCTGAACCCCTGAACCAGCAGCGCTGAGCCCCCCCGAACCGGCAGTGCTGAGCCCCAGTTATGGGCCAGACCCTGGGGACCCAGGCTCCGGCAGGAGGAAAAACGGCGAAAAGCAGGGCGCCCGGAGTCGCGCGCAATGCGCGCGCAGAGGACTGTATGTTGACTCTGATGCTGGGTTACCCTAGCCGGAAGAAACAAGGCCTCTGGCGGCGCTGGACCTCAGTTTGGACTGCTCCGAACCCCAGTTCTGGGCTAATCCCTGGGGACCCAGGCTCAGGCAGAGGGAGACGGGGCTGTGAGGTGGAGTCTGGGGAGAGCGCGAAAGGCCGGGCCCCCGGGACTCGCGCAAACTGCGCGCAGAGGACAGTCTGTTGACTCTGATGCTGGACTTCCCTAGCGGGAATGAGAAAAAAAAAAAAAAAGCTCTAGGCTGGGGGAACGCAGAGGGGAGCGGAAGCCCTTGCCGGACTCCAGCCAACCGGGCACCAGCAAGGAGGTGGGCCACGGGGCCCCTGGGGGCGTGGGTGCCCCTGAGCCTTTGACCACTGAGCTGGCAATGGAGCCAAGGCCGGGGGCTGCTTCCTGGGCGGCGCCATCCCGGCAACAGGCTGAAGCAGCGCAGGAGCCCGCGGAGAACAAAGGGGTGCCACAGGCCAACCTGCTGAGCTCCCGGGACAAGGAGGAAGAAACCAAAGAAGTTCTCAATGTGAAGAAATCAAGTGAGAGCAAAAAATAGTAAAATTACTTAAGAAAGAATACAAAGAAGATCTTGAAAAATCAAAGACTAAGTTATAACTCAACTCACCAGCCAACATTGCAACATAAATGCATTTTAAAAAGAAAAAAGAAAAAAAAAAAGGACAGAATGTTGGAACAGCGGCAGCCAGGCCTAGAGTGGCCAGGCACAAGGCAGTGGCAGCCAGGCCCGGAGCAGCAACGGCCAGGCCCCAGAACAACAGCAGCCAGAACCAGAGCATCAACAGCCAGCACTGGAGTAACCAGACCTGGGGCAGTGGCAGCCAGGCATGAGGCGGAGGCGGCCAAGCCCAGGGTGGCCAGTCCAGGAACACCCAGACCCGGAGTGGCCGGGCCCGGAGAAGCCGGGCCCAGAGCAGCCGGGGTGGGAGCAGCCAGACCCAGAACAGCAGTAGCCAAGCCCAGAGCAGCCGGGTTGAGTGCAGCCAGACCCGGAGCAGCAGCTGCCAGGCTGGGAGCGGCCAGGCCTGGGGGAGCAGCCGGGGCTGGTGCGGCCAGGCCCGGAGCAGCGGCTGCCAGGCTGGGAGCGGCCAGGCCCGGGGGAGCAGGCGGGTCGGGTGCGGCCAGGTCCGGAGCAGCGGCTGCCAGGCTGGGAGCGGCCAGGCCCGGGGGAGCAGGCGGGGCTGGTGCGGCCAGGCCCGGAGCAGCGGCTGCCAGGCTGGGAGCGGCTAGGCCCGGGGGAGCAGCCGGGTCGGGTGCGGCCAGGCCCGGAGCAGCGGCTGCCAGGCTGGGAGCGGCCAGGCCCGGAGCAGCCGGGTCGGGTGCGGCCAGGCCCGGAGCAGCGGCTGCCAGGCTGGGTGCGGCCAGGCCCGGAGCAGCAGCAGCCAAGTCCAGAGCAACTAGGTCAGGAGCGGCAGTGACCAGACCCGGAGCAGCTGGTTGTGGAATGAACCAGAGCAACAGAGGCCAGGCCCTGAGCAGCCAGGCCCAGAACAGCTCGCTCCTTGCCTGCCCCTGCCCCACAGCTGCTTCTCAGACATGGCTGGAAACTTTCGTGGGAACTTGAGGGTCTGCTGAATCAAGTGATGAAGGCTTAGATCTGGATGTGTTGAGTTAGTTTAGGGCTGGGGTGTTGATCTGTGAGTGCCTTGGGTGGGGCCTGGATGAGGCTGGTGGACCTATTGGGAAATGTCTTTTGTGTGAAGTGTATCATTGGGCATGTGGAGGTATTATTGATATGAGAAAATGCTAAGTAACTGATTTACTATCTGAAAAGGGATTTACTATTGGGGAAAGGGAGGGAAGAAGAGACTGAACATAAACTGCACCTATGGATGAGGACAATGGGGGATGGGGAGGGGGCAGAGGGTGGGGTGGGAACCTGGTGGAGGGGGGAAGAAATGAGGAACTTTGTAATAATATGAACAATAAAGATTGATTTTAAAAAAAAAATGTAAACCAGATCATACTTACTGCTTCCTGCTCAAAACCAGTAGTTTCCCATCTCAGATAGAAGCCAAAGCCCTTGCCGAGACCGGTTTGGCTCAATGGATAGAGCGTCGGCTTGGGGACTGAAGGGTCCCAGGTTCGATTCCAGTCAAGGGCATATCCCCAGTAGGGGGTGTGCAAGAGGCAGCTGATCGATGACTCTCTCTCATCGATGTTTCTAACTCTCTATCTCTCTCCCTTTCTCTCTGTACAAAATCAATAAAATATATTTGAAAAAAAAGAAAGAAGCCAAAGCCCTTGCAATGGCCTATGAGCTTCTATATAATCTGAGGACCCAGATTTCAACTCCTAATTCCTTCCTTTCATTCCACTCCAGTCACCCAGGTCTCCATGTTATTCCTCCAATATACCAGCACAGTCCTCCTCAGTATCCTTGAGCTTAAAGTTTCCTCTGCCTAGACTGCTCCTCTCCCTTGACAGACACATTCACTCACCTCCAGGCCTTCCCCGGTTAATCTGTAATTGGCACTACTCTACGCCCCTTATACATCCACAAACGCACATACACACACACTCCCTATCCTTCTTCCGTGAGTTATTTTTCTCCTTAATATTTACCACCATTATCACTATATATTTTGCTTGTCTGTTGTCTGTCTTCCCATCTTGAAAACATAACTAAGAACAACGAATTTTGTTTGGCTGTGTGCACTGATGTATCCCCAGGACCTACAACATGCCTGGCCCTCAGTAGGCATTCAATAAACATTCATTAATAACCGAGGAAATGAGTAATATGATAGGTGAGAGCTCGGGGTGGGGGCGGGGGGATGAGAGAGTCTGGTGATCAAATTCTGGATCCACTACTTACCAGCTATAAAAACTTAAGCTAAAATTACCAACTTCCTCCAAGCCCTAGATTCCTGTTCAATAAAATGGGGTTAAGAGTTTCCACCTAATTAAGAATGGTGAGAAAATTAAATGAGATAACAGGTGTGCAACTCAGCACCGCACCTGGCAATAGCTGGCTCTCAATAAGCTTCACTGATGCTTTAATGAAAGGTTGCTACTTTCACCGTCACCAAATGAGATACATTGCATATGAGCGTGCATAATAACCGGAAAGCGCTACTTAAACTAAGGGAATGCTCTGACGCTCAGAAACAGACCCCGATGGACTCATTTAGGACTTAGTCAGTTTGAAAAAGAAACTCAATTCCCAGACCCCTCTCTCAGGGGCGGGTAACGAAAGCGGGCACGCTGCAGTTTGGGAGGGTCCTCACCCCATCCCCGCTCCCAGGAACCCCAGCCCCCTCCGGACGCCCCGCCCCTCACCTTTCTCCGTCACCACGAAGCACTGCTTCACCGGCCCCACCTGGCTGAACAGCTCCGCCAGCTGCTCGCTGCGGGCCGAGGGCGGCAGGCGGCGCACGAACAGCGTCAAACCCGCCATGAGGCCCGGGAACACGCGCGCGGGGCCGCGAAGGAACCGGGCGCACGCGAGGCAAAGCTTCGGCACGCAGACCACGCCGGAAGCCGGGAGACTCCGGAAGTGCTCGGTACTGAAAAGAGTCCGGTGGAAACGCGGTGGGGCGGGGACAAAGGTTCCGGAATGGGAGAGGGAAGGAAGGTGACTCCAGGGACGGAGCTTCCTGAACCCGGCTCCACCCCACTCCACCCATCCCTACCTGCGTACCCAAGGCTTCGTCACCTCTTACCCAGCAACAAAGAAATCTCACTCCCAAGAGGTGGATCCCAGTTTCCCAGGGCAGGCAGAAGTCATTTTGCTCCCGACCTAACCCAGGTCTGACATATAATGGATGCTGAATAAATAGTTTCCGAAGTGCCACCGCAGACTCCCAGATGGCGTGTATAAAATGCAGCCAGAGCACACACAGACACAGCACATCACAAGCATCATTCAAACAATTCTCATGTTCTCAGAGGATGTGAGACATCTGCCACGCTGTAACAGATAACTGTGAACTGTGCCTCTAACGATTCGCAGACCAATTACAGCTGCTAAAGTACACACAGAAACAGATGTATGCAGTCATTCTTTCAGTAAATATTTACTGGGTTCCTACTATATGTGGTAGGCCGAAGGAAGGAAGGAAGGAAGGAAGGAAGGAAGGAAGGAAGGAAGGAAGGAAGGAAGGAAGGAAGGAAGGAAGGAAAGAAGGAAGGAAGGAAGAAGGGGTAGGGAGAGGGAGGAAGGGGGAGGGAGGGAAGGAGGGAGGGAAGGAGGAAAAGAAAGTCAGGGTCCCTGCCCTCATAGAGAATACAATTTAGTATTTTGCTACAATTTAGCAAGTAGACAGACATTAATTAGAAAAAATTTTACAAGTGAATTACCATATGCACACTGCACGATCACATGAGAACGCATACAAAGCAGACATAACATCCAGCTTATACACACAGACCTACAACCCAGGCCCTCCCAGACACCGGGGAAAATCTTCCCTCAGGTCAGCTTATCAGACCAATGCAAGGCTTAGGGGACCTCACTGGTCAGGGGATCTGGGTGCTCCTGGGTCCTGAAACACAAAGAATGTTTGCCATCCCAATGGGCTCAGGGACTGATCTGCGTGCCAGACTGCAGCACCTTGCAGAACATCCAGCTGAAAAAGTACCCAGTTCATTTTTAGTAATTACTTTTAAATGGTATAACCTGAACACATGGTAATAAACATTCAAAAAGTGCCAACAGTACAGTGAAAAGTAAGTTTCCTTCTCTTCTCAAACCCCATTTACTCTCAATACATTCTGGATGGATGGATGACTGGTTGTTAGTAATGGGGAAAACACAACATCAAATTTATGAAGCCCTAGCTTCAAGTAAGTAATAAATAGATACTTAAAAGAAAGTGCCTCAGTTATGTTAGAACATATTTTTAAGGCTATGGGCTTAATCCTACCCGAGATAAAGTGAGACAAATAGACAAAGGAAATGGGATGGGTCATTCAAATAAAGCTGATTTGGAATTCCGCATTCCTTCCTTTTTTTTTTTTTTTTTTCTTTTTCTTTTTTCCTCTCCTCCTCTCTTGCCCCCTCACCACTCTAGGAATCAAAATTCTATCCCCAGAGATTAAATTGCAAGTTTTAGGGCTCCAGTTTTGGGGAGGCCTTCCCAGCCCTGGCTGCGGTGTGCACAGGGAAAAGAACCGGAAGAAGAAGGCTATTCTAACATTCCTTTGGGACGCTCCCCTACACCGCTAAGTTCTAAGTACTTGGGACCCAAGCCCTCCTGAAAGGACAAAATGAAACTGTGTCCCTGTGCCCATCAGGGGGCAGCAGCCACCCACAGTGAGAAGGAGTTTTGTGCACTAGTGGAGGATAGCGATGCAACTGATGCTTTTTACATTTCTTACATTTCAGACCTGTCTCCCGATCTCAGTCTCCCAGCCTCAGCCTTAGCCCCCCGCCCCTCCTATCCATTCACATCAGGGACACCACATGGTTCTTTGATCGGGAATATTTGCTCATCCATCTCCCCAGGACACATGCAGGGTTCTTTATTAAATAGCAGGAGTCATAATACTCTGCACCACACCAGCACCACCGCTTCCAGGGGAAATAACCGCTGGCCTCTCTGTCATCCATCACCGTGCACGAGCCACGAAAGGAAGTGCAGAGGCTCTCAGCCAGCCTCTCCCCAAGCCTCCTGCCTCTGGCTGCACTCCCACTTGAAAGGCAAACCTTCCCATATCACTGCATACTTCTTGTTCTTAGCGCTTCTCACAACTCTTATTAGTTACTTGTTCTATTGCAGTTGTTTATAAGAGCAACTTCTTTTTTTAATCCTCACCTGAGGATATTTTTTCCATTGATTTTTTTAGAGAGCAGGAGAGAGGGAGAAGGAAGGGAAAAAGAGAGTGAGAAAGATAGATCAACATAAGAGAGACAGCCGAAACCGGTTTGGCTCAGTGGATAGAGCGTCAGCCAGGTTCGATTCCAGTCAAGGGCATGTACCTTGGTTTTGGGTACATCCCCAGTAGGGGGTGTGCAAGAGGCAGCTGATCGATGATTCTCTCTCATCGATGTTTCTAACTCTCTATCCCTCTCTCTTCCTCTCTGTAAAAAATAAATAAATAAATAAATTTTATATATATATATATATATTAAACATGAGAGAGACACATTGATTGCTTGCCTCACACGGCCATGTTGACTGGGCAAGGATTGAACCTGCAACGAATGGAACCCACAACGCTTCCCATTCCATGGGCCAACATTCTGACCACTGCGAAAACTGGCAAGGACTATAAAAGTAACTTTTTTTTTAATGTTAACAGACACTCAATAGTCATTGGTGTTTGTTTGTTTGTTTGTTTGTTTTTATTTCATAGAAGAAGAGAGAGAGGAAGAGAGAGATGGAAACATCCATAATGAGTCAGTGATAGGCTGCCTCCTGTATATCCCACACTGGGGATTGAGCCCGCAATCCAGGCATATGCCCTCGACCGGAATCGAACCTGGAGCCCTTCAGCCCACAGGCTGACACTCTATCCACTGAGCCAAGCCAGAGTCTAAGAGTATCTTTTCAATGTTTGCCTTAACAAAAAGACCTTCAGCTTCTTAAGTTCAGAGCTAGCATCACCTTGTTCAGCTCTCTGGCCCCAGCACCTAGCACCTTGTAAGCATTCAATAAAATGTTTGAAAGAAATTGGATGAAAGAAGGTAAGTTTGTCTTTCGGTCTCCTATAGTATTAAGAATTGGAACAGAAGCGTATATGCATTAGGATTGCCTGGGCTCCTCTGGAAAACCTGCTTTGGGTATGGGCTGAGTTATGAGGCAAAAGGGAAGGGTTGTCTCACCAAAATCTCAGCCTCTTTGTAATGTCAAAGGCAATTTTTTGTGAAAAGTATTGGAGCTGTAGTCCCTTGCCCTGTCCCACTCCTATTTCATCAGCCCCACTCAGAGCTTCCAGACAGAAAAGCTGTGTGTGTGTGTGTGTGTGTGTGTGTGTGAGAGAGAGAGAGAGAGAGAGAGAGAGAGAGAGAGAGAGAGAGAGAGAGAGAGGTTGAGAGTACTGACTGGGATATGAAACATGGACTGCTTTGTCAGGAGATGTTCAGTTAAGATGTTCGGTTAAGATGCATGAACTGAAGAATCCTTGATGGGAAGAGTGAGTGAGCAGCTGGCATGGCAAGAGGATTGGGGTGAGAAAGAGATGGCAGAGAGAAGTTGCATGTGGGCAGAGGCAAACAGCAAGCGCTCCTTCCATGTCACAAAGCAGCTCTGATGCTGGGGTGCTACAGCCACCAGGACACCAGTGAGAAATGCCTGCAATTAGGAGGCTGACAGTTCTCTGGGCCTCAGCCCAGAGTGACAATGCAGCAAGAATTTCTAAGCCCAACTGAGCCAGGTGATGGAGGAGACACAGTCAGAACCAATCCAGCCCTATCCCTCAACCATGCCTGCCCCCCCCCCCCCAATTTCTTCCCCAATGTGACCCCTCACTCCTCCCACAAACATCACTGACTCCCTCTTGCTGCTGAGGTCCCATGCCCCGTGCAGGAGAGCAGTGCGCTAATTCTTCCACAAGGACAGTGGTCGGCAAACTGCAGCACTGTTGACTAATGCGTTTGCTAGCCACTGGGATAGGGGCTTAATCACAAGAAACAACAACAGCCTGTAATTATTGGAATCGAGAGTGTAGGTCAATGGTTGGCAAACTCATTAGTCAACAGAGTGGCAAACCGTGGCTCAAGAGCTGAAATTTGCAGACCACTGCACAAGGGCACTGGCCCTGATCTCCTGCTTCCCTTCCCTCCTCACATCCCCACCACTGATGGACAGAGTTGGAAGAAAAAAACACATTCCTGGTTCTGTTTTTGCACTTCCAGGCTAGGATGTGGGCCTCTGTAATGTGTAGGACATCTGCCAAAACACTGCCAGATTTTCGTTTTCAAGCCTAATTTATGACTGTGTTAGTGCCACTGAACTTCCTGCATCCTAGTCGAATGCACGCCACAGAGCTCAGAGCCAAGTGCTCTGGACAAGGGACGGGTGACAGGGTGCTGGTGGTTTGGATGTATCCCCAGGTCTCTGCACTGTGAGTTCTGCTTTGGTGGGTAGGATATGGGTGGGAGGGGTTGGGAAGACAGGCTTTCTCCAGGAAGGATCTGCACCTCCAGGAGGCAAGTGCTCTCCATGGGAAGAGGGCTGAGAATCCAACCTTGAAGGGGCCCTGTTGGTAGGTGGAGCCTGTGTGAATTCCTCTGGGAAGGTGGCAGGAAGATTGCTGGGCTCCCAGCTCAAGGTAACCAAGCCCTTGATGTGTGTTTCAACATTTCCACAAAGAATTTTACCAAGAATTAATCCCTGCAGAATCCGGTTTGGTTCAGTGGATAGAACATCGGCCTGCAGATTCAAGGGTCCTGGGTTCGATTCCAGTCAGGGGCATGTACCTTGGTTGTGGGCACATCCCCAGTGAGGAGTGTGCAGGAGGCAGCTGACAGATGTTTCTCTCTCATCAATGTTTCTAACTCTCTATTCCTCTCCATTCCTCTCTGTAAAAAAAACAATAAAATTTATATTAAAAAATTTTAATAATAAAAAAAAGAATTAGTCCCTAGCCTCCTGAACACCAGGACCTGAGCCCAGTTCCCAGGAATGCAGACAGTCCACCAAAGACAGTAGTTTCTGTCTCACCTCTAAGGGCCACGTTCCATCTCTGGATAAAAAAAAAAAAAAAAGCCCGGAGAGTCAAATGGTCCTCAATGGGCTGCCCCCAGGACCCTTACTCATCCCAGACCCAGGACAAAACTCCTTGCAGTTGGGAGTAAAGGTCCCTGGGATTTGGGATGGACCCACCCCACCTAAATGCAGCTTCTCTTCCAGTTCTGGCAGAACCACTAACGCTGTCATCTCATCTAAGCTTTTCCAAGAAGGTCATACCATTCTCCTCTGAAAATATTTTATTGATAAATTAACTCTGATAGCGCTCACCCCCCACACAACAGCTGTAGCGTCTCCTAGGTGGGCCATGGACCCTTCCTTCTCCAGGGGAGGGTCCTGTGGAGAACGGGGAGTCTCTCCCGCAGGGATGGGACTCCTGGGCATGGCAGAGGTGGGCACAGGGGCTGAGGACCATCCTGAGGTCTTCTGAGGATAGCCCCTCACCCAGTACCAGAGCGGGCAGTGGCGGTCAGGAGTGGAGCACCTTGGAGCTTTATTGCTGGTGAATGCCAAGGCAAGTGGGACCCCTGCCAGCCTAGAATGGCAGCCGAGGGCATCGACGCCCAGGGCTCCAGAGGAGGCGGCACTAATTCCCAATCCACAGAGCCTGGCTGCTGACCCACCCACCCAGAAGCCCCTGGATGGGGGAGGAAGCAGGATGAGGTATGTGAGCCAGGCCGGATCGGGGGAGGGTTACAGTGTGCAGGTCATGGGCAGAGCTGACGCCAGGAGGGGGCGTGTGGCCGGCCCCCAAGGGGGGCCTCCCTCTTCACAGGTCTATGGTGTCGCTGCCCATGCTCAACTCGTCGATCTGCCTGCAGGCGTCCAGGAATTGCTCCTGCAGCAAGGCCTCTTGGGCCTGCAGCTCACCAGCAGGCTCTGGGGAGTCGCGGGAGGACTGGGACAGGGCCTGGTAGGATCCTGAGGCTGGGAGGTGTGGGCTGCTTGCAGAGGGCCGCGGGGGGCTGAGGACGCAGACCAGCGGGCAGTGCGGGGCCCGGTCCCGGTCTGGGCTGGAGCACAGCAGCATGGACGAGCTGTCCCTGGAGAGTCCGCACAGCGAGCCCGACGACGCGCTACTGCCCGCGGGCCAGGCCCCTGGGGAGGAAAGGCCTGGGGGCCCGGAGATGCCTGGGGCCTCCTCGGACCTCCCACTGGGCCCAGCCCCGGGCGAGGCGGTGCCATAGAGGCCGAGCCCGGGCAGGGCTTCCCCAAAGGCAGGGCCCTGGAAGAGCCCGGGCGCCAGCAGCGCCTCGCTGCAGAGGGCCTCCTCGATGCTACGCCGCAGGTTGATGGGGGATGGCGGGGCGAAGTCCACGGTGCAGTCGCTGCAGGGGGAGGAGGCTGGGGAGGGGGGCGCCGGGTGGGCCGCTGACCCCCCGCAGCCCCGACAGGAGCCTCCCTGGAACAGGAGGTCGGGGCCCGGCCCCGCCAGGGCGCACAGCTGCAGCAGCTCCGCGTCGCCGCGCGTGATGGCGCCGCCCAGAGGCTCCTTGTCCGGCGCCCCGGGCACCCAGCGCGCGGGCAGCAGCGGCGCCGCGTGGCCCGGGGACAGGCGGAGGAGCTTGGCCCAGCAGCGCGGCGGCGGCGCGCGGGGGCTGCAGAGCGCCGGGTAGAGACCCAGCAGCGCCAGCGGCAGCGCGACGCCCACCTCGCCCAGGCGCAGGCCCAGCTGGAAGGCCCACCAGGGCCAGGGCCCCGCCAGGCCGGGCTGGCCGCCGAGGCCCAGGGCGTGCAGCACCTCGTAGCCCTGCAGCGCCCCGCTCAGCAGCCCGAAGGCGCCGGCCACCGGGGCCGTGCGCGCCGCGCGCCGCCAGGAGTCCCGCGGGGCGAAGGGGCTGCGCGCCGCCGGCGGGAGCGGCGTGGCGCCCTGCAGCCCGGACCCTCCGAGGGGCGCCCCGGCCCGCCGCCTCCGGCCCCGCCAGCAGGAGAGCGCCAGCAGCAGCGCGGACAGGAGGGCGGCGAGGAAGGCGTGCAGGCCGCGGGAGGCGAGCCGCAGGGGCCGCAGCGGGCGGTGGGCGGCGCTGCCCAGCGCGGCGGCGGCCGCCAGCGCCAGGCCCAGCAGCGGCAGCGCGGCCAGGCCGGCGGGGCAGCGCGGCGGGCGCGGCCGGGCCAGCAGCAGGCAGGCCAGGCCCAGGCCGGCGGCCAGGCACGGCGGCGGCAGGTCCTGCAGCAGCAGCCAGGCGAGCGCTGGCAGCCGGTCGCGATGCCCGTAGGCGTCGTAGAAGAGCGGGAACGCCCGCGTGGCCCCGGCCGAGAGCAGGAGCACGTCCAGCAGCGCCAGGCAGGGGGCGCCGGGCGGGCAGCGCCAGGGCAAGAGGGCCAGGGCCAGCAGCGCCAGTGCGGCCACCAGGCCGAAGAGGGCGCCTACCCCGTACACGTGGGCCTCCCAGGCCAACCCCCAGCGAGCCCGGGCCTCCGCCCAGTCGGCCTCCAGGGTCAGGAAGAAGAGGGACAGCGGGGCCGCAGGAGGCTGCCCCTCGCCTTCGGGCAGTTCTCCGACGTGGCAGGACCCTGGCCCACACCCCGCCGGCTTCACAGAAGGGTTTCCGAGGCTGGCAGGAGAGGGATCCTCTGGACCAAAGGTGGGGAGGGTGGCGTCTGTGGGCAAAGAACATTTTTCTGAAGCAGGTGTGCAGCCCCCCTCGTCCTGCCACTCCACAACCAGGAGCCTGTATGCTGGTCAGAGTCCTCATAGCCTCCAGGACACCCGTCTTCAATGTGAGACTGGACCTCACACCTTCCCCTCCCCCATTAAACTCCTCGTGCAGAAGTTCCAGCTCTCACAGCCTTCCCAGATACCCCCCTCACCCCCAGCATCCTGCTTTGTGCATTTGCCTTCCTCACTTTGTGACCCTATAGCAAAGGATTTTTCTTAAGAAGTCCCAGAATTTGCCAAAACCGGTTTGGCTCAATGGATAGAGCATCGGCCTGCGGACTGAAAGGTCCTGGTTCGATTCTGGTCAAGGGCATGTACCTTGGTTGCGGGCACATCCCCAGTTGAGGGGGTGTGCAAGAGGCAGCTGATCGATGATTCTCTCTCATTGATATTTCTAATTCTCTATCCCTCTCTCTTCCTCTCTGTAAAAAATCAATAAAATATATTTTTAAAAAGAAAAAAGAAGAAGAAGAAGAAGAAGAAGAAGAAGAAGAAGTCGTCGTCCCAGAATTTACTGAAACCGGTTTTGCTCAGTGGATGGAACGCCAGCCTGAGGACTGGGGGGTCCCGGGTTCGGTTCCGGTTAAGGGCATGTGCCTGGATTGCGGGCACATCCCCAGTAGGAGGTGTGCAAGAGGCAGCTGATCGATGATTCTCTCTCATCAATGTTTCTAACTATCCCTCTCCTTTCCTCTCTGTAAAAAAATCAATAAAATATATATATTTTTAAAAAGTCCCAGAATTTTACAACTCGGAGGGACTGTGGAAGCCCCTTCTAGTTCAATTCTCCCACCGAAAGGAAACTTCCTAAGGACAAAAAGTTTTGCTTGCTCTGCTCACATCTGAATCCCTGAGCCTAACGTGGTGCCTGGCACAGAGTTAGCATTGAATAAATGATATCCCGGACAATACAGGCTATACAGTGAATAAACAAATCCTCTTACTTGCCAGATGGAGATACTAAGGGTCTGCTGAGAGGTAAAATGACTTGTCCAAGGTCACAAATGGACAGAGCTGCCACCAGAATCCACATTTGAGCCCCAGCGGAGCCCCTTTCCAGAATCCCAGAGCCTCTTCCTAGTACCAGTTGCTTGTTCTGCACCCCTGACTCCCAGCTCCCATCTTGGAGCTAGGAGAGGCTCCCCTGCCCCTTTCTACTGCTTCCCCGTCTCTTCAGGAAAACCTCTACACAGACAGACACACAGACAGACACGCAGGCTCATTCTCATGCATGGGGGTGCTTACATATGCAGCAGGACATTCCTGTCTCCACCCAGCGCCCTGAGGAGAATACCTGTCCACTCCACTTGCCTTCCTGTTTGTTACCCGACCCCCCCCCCCCACCCTCAGCCTCCCCATTCTGACTCAATCACAAAGACATTGGTCTAAGGCTCTTAATATAGATGCTTCTTTAGTTCTAGCTCCATTTTCTAGAAGGTGGCATTGAGAATGGACTCCCCTTGAGGCTACCCTTGAACTCCTAGGAAGAAACCACTGGGGAGATGATAGTGGGATAAAAGGCTGAGTGGGTGAGCCCCTCAGGGGTTGCTCTGGGGTTCGATAACTCAGGCTTCCAACCTCATCTTGTGCTCCAACACCTTCCCCTCATCCCGAGAGAAAGGGAAGTCGAATAAGAGGTAAGGAGTAAGACGCCTAATTCTACTCTCCTGGAGCAATCGATGAGTTAGGAAGAGTTAGGTCCAAGGATTCTCCCCATGGCTGGGCAGCAAGGGAGGGTGCTGGAAGCTGGACCTCTCCCTACTCCACCTACCAGCTCAGCAAAGCTGCAGCTGCTGGCAAGGGTGGAGGGAGAAAGGAGGTGGAGAAGGGTGGGGACAACCTGATGCGGATGGGGAGGTGCACAGGAGGCAGCTGTAAAAGGAGGGGCGAGGGTCTCCTGACAAAACAGATTCCTGCCCCAACTGCCCGGCCGTGCCCTGCCATGTTCAGCAGCCATGCTTCAGCTGGACCAGACAGGAAGAACCCGGGAACACTCCGCCCCAGGCTGTGCCAGCTCCTGCTGGGGACTTGCAAAACAGAGCAGCCCTGAGAACAAGGAAAAGGAGCAAAGAGGCAGAAATTGGCTTTGGAAAGAGAAGAGGGGAAGATAGAATCAGACAACTGCAGAGGGCGAAGAGGGAGCAGCCAAAAAATTAAATATCCACAGCTCGCTGCCTACTGCCAATGGCATCAAGTGCCTGGTCCCTGTTCCATCGCATTCACATCTGAATCGGAGAAGAGTATCCACTGCAGAGGCTGCTGCGAGGGTAAACACTAACAGATGATGTGTGCAAAGCTGTTTGGAGTGCTTGAGCATAATAAGCATTCCATATGTGACTGTTGTTGGTGTCATCGTTATTGGCTAACGTCAGTCACCAATCATCAGTTTGTGATTGTGTTAGTGAGACCGTTTCTGGCCTCCAACTAGTTCTCAATTTAACTAACAAGAGCCAGTTGTCCCTTAGCACATCCTAAACTTCTTTAGGAAATCAACAATTATTCAAATGAGTGAACATCAAGACATTCTCACTTCATAAACCCTGTTTGAATGGACGGACCATCCCCGAACACCTAATGAAGACATAGCTGGAAAGGACATCTTGCTGATGACCACATGCTCCCTCCCTCACCCTCATTCCTGGTCCCCTCCGATGCCCTTGCCCAACCCACGTCTTCTGCCAAGTGGATGAGTGTGCCTGGTCTCCCCTGGGCCGTGATGGGCTCTGCAGCCAGGCAGGGAGACCGTGCCCAGGAGCCCCACCAGCCTGCCGCCCGCAGGCCTCCTCCTCGCTCACTGTACAGACAAGTGCAGCTGTCAGAGGTCTGCTCCATTCTCACCCGAGAGCTGTAGGAAACCCCATCTCTCACCTCTGTCCCAAAGCACTCTGGCAACTAGAGCAAGTTTCAACTAAGAAGCCAGAAAAGGAAGGAAACCCAGAAAATAGGCAAAGTACAGGCACAGCTCAGGTGTCAAAGGAGGGAGTTCTAAGTAGATGCACTGCTCCTGGGGGCACGGCCTGCCCGGTGTACCCAGCACTGGGCCACGTGGGTGGGGGCAGGTGGAGAAGACCCAGCTTCTGCCTAAAGGGTCTACCTGGCCTCAGCCCATGTCTCACCTTTCCCAGAGGAACCCTCAGTTTCCCTCAGAAGAGAGAAACGTCCTAGGACCCCTCTTCTGAGCAGAGCTCCCTTACAAGATGGTCCCACCCTGGCCCTGCGGCCCCTCTTGACCTCAGGGTCGAGCGAGGAGATGGGATGTCAATGTGAGTAATTGGGGAGTTTGGGCTAGCTGGGGAGGAGACGCTGGATTTATGGAGAAGTCAGGCCTGATTATCCACCAGCTGCCCAGATCAAAGGGCAGGCTCCACTCTGGATGCCGGGATCGGCAGCCTGTTCAATGTCCTGGCCCCATCCCTCTCCCCACCCCCCACCTCCAGGGTTATGGAGGATTGACACTTTTTGTGAGAGTGACATTTGAAATATTTAACAACTGGAAATGGCACAGGTGCCAGCTAGGGTGGTCAGGGAGTGGAGGGGAGTGGAGGGAGCTAAGGTCAGTGGGTGCTTATCAAGTGAAACAAGTCTCTCACAACCTAAGCAACTGTTTCTGTGAGCACTGGCTGAATACAAGCTCTGTCCTAGGGGAAGAGACCTAATGCAAGGCAACAGAGCCCTGGGGTCAAAGGTTAACTGCACCCAAGTTAGAGAGGTCCCAGAGGAGACAGAGGGGCTCCCTTGGTCCCCTGACTGACACCACTCCCCACACACACCGCTGGTCCAAGCAAAGCTCCTGGGCCTTCCCTCTGAGAGGACTGTAGCTCGCTTGGGTTTGTCCGAGAGGAATACTCAGGAAGAGGCTGGGTTCCCGCAGCCATCAGTGAAGAGGGGGAAGGAGGATGGGGCTGGCAGGCTGGGCTGCCTCTGACACTGTCCAGATGCATTAAACCTGCCTGGCAGCGTGGCTGTCACCAATGCTGGGAGACTGCCAGGCTGCATCCTTCCCCTGAGGCCACAGAGCCTGCCCCCAACCTCGGAGCAGATCCTGGGCAGCATCTGGAGCACAGGGAGCATGCAGGAGGGAGCCAGAGTTGGGAGTGTTGAGTCTGGAGCTGCAAGAAGCTGGGCCACCGGTGGTTTCCAGAAGCTGAGCTGGTTCCTAGTGTGGGGTGACTGAGAGGATTCACAGTGACAGTAAACCCTCTGCAGAGCAAAGCTGGGCCTGGAGGTCCCTCTCCATGGCACCCTTGGCTTCACCTACTAGAACCTCTCCCCAGCCAGTGTGCCTTCTGTCCTGTGGGTTATGTGCTATCCCAGCGGTGGGCAAACTGCGGCTCTCGAGCCACATGCAGTTCTTTGGCCTCTTGAGTTTTTAGCAAAGGCCAATTTAGGAGTACCCTAATTAAGTTAATAACAATATACCTACCTATATAGTTTAAGTTTAAAAAATTTGGCTCTCAAAAGAAATTTCAATCGTTGTACAGTTGACATTTGGCTCTGTTGACTGATAAGTTTGCCGACCACCGTGCTATCCTATCACATCTTTTTTAAAAATATATATTTTATTGATTTTTTACAGAGGAAGAGAGAGGGATAAAGAGTTAGAAACATCGATGAGAAAGAAACATTGATCAGCTGCCTCCTGCACACCCCCTATTGAGGATGTGCTCGCAGCCAAAGTACATGCCCTTAACCAGAATCGAACCTGGGACCTTTCAGTCCGCAAGCCAATGCTCTATCCACTGAGCCAAACCAGTTTCGGCTATCCTATCACATCTTGGGGCCAGGGTTTGCAGTGTCTCAGAGGAGGGTCTGGACATGTGTTGCGATGCAGCGGGGGGAAAAGCAAGGTTAACAGCAACTATTGAATGAGCTTCTACTTTGTGCCCAGCCTTATGCCAGGAGCTTACATTCCCTGGAAGCTCACAATAACAGAATAAATGCTATTATTAAGCCCTAGATATCTGAAGAAAATTTAGGCTCAGGGACACCAAATAACTTGCCCTAACGTCACCCAGCCAGTTAGTAACTGGGATTCAAAGCCAAGTCTCAAGATTCCGGAGCTCCCGGTCTTTCCTCTGCACCAGCAGCTCGTCTGCATGCTTTTCTGAACGAGGGTGGCATCTGTCTGCTCACGATCTTCCCAGTGAGAAGCCCAGCCCTGCCCGTATCTGACAGCCTGTCATGTCAGATCAGGCAGCAAAGGGGAGAGCCCCAAGTCTGGGTTTGGGATGGGGATCGGGCCAGACAGACAGGAGTGGCGGGTGGGGTTGGCACAGAGGCTGTGGAATTCATGAGGGAGTTCCTGTGTCTGTTTGCCCCTGATACATGTGTCCACATCCTGCTCTGCCCGGGATTGCAAAACTCCCCAAGGACCATTACTTAACTCTGTGTGGGACAGGACCCAGCAACCCTTGTTCTCAAGCCATGAACATGTATCTCCATGGTGATGATGAAGAGAACGGTGATTATGATTAAATGACGATGAAACCAAAGGGTCCCGGGACACCCATTAGTGGCTAACCTGTAGTAAGTGCTCAATGAATAACTGTCAAGCTCACATGAATGGGGCGCTTACCTAGCGATGTGGTTGCAATGGAGGCGGCGCTCAGAGAAGCAGTTGGGTCTAGTGGGCCTGGGCTTGCAAGCTTGCTCTCCAGGGAGGACGGGGGTGGGAACAGCGTGGTGCCAAAGGACCCTGCAAAGGGAGAACACCGGGTTTGAGTACCATCTTACCAGCCTTGGCTTCTGGGCTTTTGGTGGAAAAGCCGGTCTTTCCCCAGAACTTGCCCTCAGAGAGCCACCGTCCCAGGAATGAGAGCCACATGTCCGTCACGAGCTAAGTTCCATGGACCAAACCAAACTTAAAAGGGCAACAAGAGAATGTTTCCCTGGGAGCAGGGGCCCACGTCCCAGGGCCAGGAAGAAGCAATGCAGACCTCCCCTGGAGCCAAGGAAGCAAGGGCGTGCTGCAGAGGCCCTGGTCCGGTGCCTGACATGCAGAGGAAGTCTGTAAATGCTCGTGGCCACGAAGCCAACACTCACCCGGCGAAGCGGAGGCTCTGGAGGCAGCGCTCGGGGACGCCGTCGGGCCCGGGGGGCTCCCGCCTGAGAAGTTCCGGAGAGGGGACAGAGTGGTGCCAAAGAACCCTGCAAAGGGAGCCCAGCTGAGGCTTCCTCCTCCCTGCCAGGCAGCCCAGCAGGGGCTCTCCTCAGGGCAGGGTGGGTACTCACCGAACGGTCCCAGGCGCCCAGCAATCTCTGCCAGGCTGGCCCGCAGACTGGGCAGCAGGGGCAGGGTCCGATGCCCGAGCGTGGGGGCTGCGCCTGCTCTCAGGGACATGTCAAACTGCACTTCCAGCTCTGTCTGCTGGGGCCTGGGGGCGCTGGACGGAGGTGCTGTGGCCATCAGGGCAGTGTCCCAGGTCACAGTGCCCACCCTGGGCTGGTAGGGGGCAGTAGGCCGGGTGGTGGGCCCAGAGAGGGGGGAAGTGGATTCCAGAGGCAGGGAGGAGGCCCAGGGGGTGGCGCTGCCTTCAGCGGAACCCCACTCTGGGGAGTAGTTCCCCAGGGAGCCCACCAGCAGCTCCCAAAGCGGGTCAGTCCTCAGCCCACTGGCCGCCTCCTCCTCCAGCTCCTGGCTCTGCCCTGGGGACGGCGGGTGGGTCTCCGTGACGGGGCCCCCCCAGGCCGCAGCAGGTCCCCGAAGGTGGAATTTGAAGTTCAGTCCCAGATTGAGGGACAGCATGGAGGCCTCGCTCTGAGGTGGTGGGGTCAGCGTGGTGAGAGGGGAGCCTGGGATGGAGGAAGCGGGTTGGGGGCCCACAGGAATGGCGAGGAGGACCCAGCAGAACAGCCCCAGACAGCCATGGCCTGCCATGGCCCCACGGGGTCTCAGGCAGCCTCCGTGGGTAAGGGACTCAGCTCTTCAGCACCTTCGGAGCACGGAGGTCCTGGAGGAAGGAGAGGCACTGTGAGCCCTGGCTGCCTGCGGGGAATGGCCCCAGAGAGAGGCTGATCACAGAGAAACAGGGGGTGGGGAGGAGGATGCAAAGGGCTCTTCCCAGGAGAGCTGCCAGCTCCTTCCTCCTTTCAGGGCCCAGCACAAATCTCTCCCCTTCAGTTTCCCTAAGGCCCCTCTTCCTAGGCCCCTGCCTCCCCCACCTGCTCAGTGTGGGGTGAGACCACAACCAGCTGCTCTCATCCTTGACTGATAGTAGATGGGATGGACCTGACTCCCAGACGCAGATCCCTTCCCGCCCTCTCTTCTGTCCTCCCTTCCAACCTCAGATATTGATGGAGGCTCCTGTGTGCCCAGCACCCTGCTGTGAGCAAACGAGCCCTCACAGACGAGTCTCAACCCAGGCCCACCTCCACAACGTCTTCGGATGGCCCTCTCCTCACTCAGACCCAGGAGTCCGGGGCCTGGGAGGGGCACGCCCGGGCTCGGGGATCTGGCTTGGATGGAGAAGGCAGCCGAGCGAGCTCCCTGGTCCGCCAGAAGCTCTGTCCCTTCAGCCTTTCCCCTCTTTCCTGGGGCTTGGCCTGCTCCCTTCCTTTTAACCCTAGTATTTGGGGGAGGGGCAGCTTGGCCGTCTCTGGTTTCCTGGGGAAGATGGCCAGGCAGGCGAGGCGCTGCTGCAGGAGCTTCCTACCCCCTCCCCAGGAACCCTTCCCTGCGCACACCTCCGATGGGGAAGGGGAGGGTGAGCCGGGGACACATGTGCACCCGGCTCCCGTACTTCACACACAGCCACACCTAGCACCCATGACACACTCCCCCACTCACCCTTCACACAGCCTTGCACACAAGTGCGCTCTCACACACACACACATTCCGTCCTGCCGAGTGCCCTCCCTCCTGCATGGGTTCCTGTGAGCTCCCAGCCCCCCCCCCCCACCCCTACACACACCCCTGCCTCACAGACACACACAGAAGACAGTCACACGGAGAGGCACACACCCCTGCACACATCGCACACTCCTTACAGACACACATCACACAGCATCCCCGCCACACACGCTGCAGGCGCGCGCGCGCACACACACACACACTGCAGACACGCGCACACACACGCGCGCTCACACACACACACACACACACACACAAGACGCACACATCACCCCCCCTCCCCCCGCACCCACTGGCCCACCTGCCCCCTCGGAGGAGTCTCCGCTGCCAGGTCCCGGAGGCCAGAGGTGGCGGCCCTGGCGCCCCGCTGGGCAGCGCTCCGCGGAGTCGAGCCGGTTCTCTCGGTTGTGCCCGGTGCCCGCCACCTCGGCTTGGCCAGCGCGCTGCCCGGGGCTGGCCGGCCCGGCGGCGGCCACAGCGCTGTTCCCTGCCCGGCCGCTCCGGCTCCCGCTTCCTCCGGCACCGCCTCCCGGCTGAGCGCCCGCGCCCCGCTCCGCGGCACCGCGGTCGGCCCGCCTCCCACCCCTTCCCTTGCTCCGGCCCCCTCCCCTCCTCCTCCCACCCTCCTGCGGCCGAGGTCCGCCCCCCCCCCACCCTGGCCAGCGGGCAGGCGCGCACGTCTGTGCCCGCTCCCCCACGTCTGTGCCCGCTCCCCCAGGCGCTCCTTCACCCGCAGCTGCCCATCCTCCGCGGCGGGCGCGGGCGCCTAGGTCTCAGCCCGGCGCGGGCAGCCACGCACCCTCGGGGCGGCCCATCACACGCAGCCACCCGCACCCACGCCTTCCCGGGAACACACCCGGGCCTGAGCACCGCGCGCACGCGCGCACTCGTGTGTGTGTACACACACACACACACACACACACACACACACACGCACACACACACACACACACACACACACACCCCTGGCTCCAGAATGTCACCCCCATGGAAGAAGACCCACTACGGTTATGGAGCTGTGAATGTAATAGGCACTTACCTCTACACCTTTTGTCTCATGAGTCCTCAACACAAGACCCTGTGTGTTCCCATTTCACAGATTAGGTAAATGAAGGCTCAGAAAATTAACAAATGTGCCCCAAATCTCTCAGTTTGCAGAGACTTGAACCCAGTCCTTGGGCTGCCCTCTCCACCCCCTGGGGGCTTTCAACAGCTGTACTGCTCCTCGGAGCGCCTCTCCTAGGCACAGGTGGACTGGCGAGTGTCAATGCATGTGGGTAATATTTCTGTTTTTGTTAAAACTGATCTCTCGAAGTACTTAGAATTTCAGAAATGTCTGCCAGAGAGAATGGTGAGCTAAGCTTACAACGTGTTTCCCATCAGGGGCGGGAGGAAAACAGTGAAGCCAAAGAAAGTGTGCTGCCTCGGGAACATGAGGGCCCAGGAGGGCTGCCATGGGGTGAAGATGAGTAGAGAGCAGGGTGGTCACTGTGAGTGCTTCACGGTCCTTGCTATGCTGTCACAAGTGGGATTGACTCATCTATGTTGTTTTGAGTCTCTAAATCCCTTCAGGTGTTCCTCCAAAAATGCTAGTGTTTGAAAGTATAAGGGGGGAGGATATAAAACACGTAGGCTCCCTGCACCACCTAAAGCTGTCCCTCAAACTCAGACATCCTACTGTGTGCCAGGAATCCCCTCACTTATTCCTCATCACAAGCCACACACACACACACAAATTATTGTCACCGTGTCACACCTTTGTATGTGATCCTGACCCTTCCCTAGCTCTCCAGGGGGTGCTTACAGAGTTACCTAGGACACGTATAGAGCGCTGACATAGTGTGTTGCCCATGGTATGTGCTCAGTGAATATTAATACCTGGAGAACAAACAAATGAATGATTCTGGGGACCAAACCAGTACTGGGTTTCATTTTTGAAAGGCATCCAACTTGACTTTGGATGCAAAATACAGAATATGTATTATAGAATCATACACTTGAAACCTATAAAATTTTATTAGCCAATATCACCCCAACACATTTAATAAAAATGTTTTTAAATAAAAAAGGTAGCCAGGACTCAGTTTCTTATCACAGAATTCCCCCAACTGATAGAAGATAAAATCAAACCCACCCACTGAGCCCCTCTCCTGGGAATGTCACGTGAAGCCTGAGACTTATTCTGGGTCCTTAGGCAAAACATTGTGCAGGGCACACCCTCACAGCTCGCTATGGCCTCTGGTCCTTTAGACGCTGCCTGGAGGCTGCATCCTGGGATCCAGCCCTGGTTTTCTCTCAGATACAAAACAAAAATGATCTCGCTTAGAGACATTTTCCTTGAATCTTCCTCACAGAGAGACTCATTTCCTGCTAGTCATGTTCACTTAATGACTTCTAAATGGAAAGACAGAAATAAACAAACCCCATTACATTAAAATAGCAATCCTCCATGACCAAGTAGGGTTATCCCCAGGAATTATATTTTAAAATATATATTGAAAGGGAAAGTTAGGGTTCTGGGTTAAGATGGCAGTTGAATGAATACTTCTAATTTCACGCCCTCCCCAAGCCCCACTAAAATGTCAATAAAGAGAATTTTAAATCACGCGATAAACCCACAAGGATAGAGCAAACAGGGGGAAAAGACAATAGCCACAAACGTTTTGAAGGAGGATGGCAGACACCCTTGAGGTTACTGACTTTTCAGCCCTGCAGAAAAAGATGTGTCAGATGGCAGTGGAGGGAACAGGGCCAACCTGTCATAGAGTGCAAAGTTCTCAGAAGGCACAGAACTTTGCAACCCAAGGTACCTCTGGAACTGTGGGAGAGATTGCTAATATAAGGACCAAGAAGTAAAGGAGTTAGAACTCCAAGTCACTGGGAAACAGCCCCTTCTCTCTCCCAGCGAGTCTGGAGGACTTACTCTAAAGAAGGGAAAATGGAGGGTATTGGGTTGGAGAAGCTTCACGTATGGTTATGAATGGAGATACTATGCTGAACATGGTGAAAACAAGAGGATTACTTGTCGTATGAGATGCTGAGTGCACGGATCCTGAGCCTTCTCCCACCATTGGACTCACAAAGCACTGGGAGCAGGACCTTCGGCATCTAGGCAGGAGACCGGAAGGCTCTACTCTGCAGTATGTCACTAGTCCAAAAGGAAAGGCGAAAGGTACTGACACAGGCGTTTTCCCAGCGAAATCACCCGACAGTGGCAACCCCAGCCTGTGAGCTCAGTCTCTGACTAGCTTCCCTCCCACCCCCACAACCTTATTCATGGCCAAAGGTCACCAGATGTCCAGGACATCTTCTAACGCAGGAGAGAGAGATGAAACCAACACCCAGAAAACGTAACTTGGAGGAAACAAGTTATGCAGAGAAAAGAAAGTGTCCAAACGACCACTGTTAATAGCCTTAGACAGATAAGAGAAGATACACTATCCAGGAAATAAGAAAATTGGCTATACAAAGGAACATCCAGAGCATAGCAACAGCAACAAGTATGTCTTGAGAAATAAAATCACAACAGCATAGACAATAACACCTGTAGAAAGATAAGGCAGATAAGGTTGATTAAATCTCCCTAGAAAGTAAAGCATACATACTAAGAGATAGAACAAATAGGCCAGAAAAGATAAGAACCTTAGAGGACAATTCTAGGAGTTCAACATCAAATTAATAGACGTTTCAGCAGTAGCAGGTGGACTGAAGGGACTCGGGTTTGATTCCAGTCAAGGACACATACCTGGTTGCAGGTACAATCCCCAGCTCTCTCTCTGTTTCCCCCCACCCCTTCCACTCTTTCTAAAAATCAATGGAAAAATATCCTCCAGTGATGAGTAATCATCATCATAATTATTATTATTATAGAAGTTTCAGAAAGAAAAGAAAACAGAGGAAAATGGAAGGGAGAAAATCACCAATGAACTAAGTTGAGGACATTTTCCAGAACAGAAGGACACTTGCTGAAACCGGTTTGGCTCAGTGGTAGAGCATCGGTCTGCGGACTGAAAGGTCCCAGGTTCGAT